ATACAAGCTTTTCATATATAATTTTTTTCTCTCAGAGAAGAAATAGAATAGCCTGATAATTATAATTATACTAGACCACAGTAAGCACCCGCTACATGTAATAATAGGCTGCTTTAGCAACAGAATCAGAATGTCAGTTGATGACGGCGAGCGCAAATCAAACAACTGGTTCGACCAATGGCAGAGCAACAAATTGGGCACCGGAAGACGTATTTAGTCCTTTTCGCGTGCTTTCCCATCGTCAAATGACGTTCCCGTTCTGTTGCTGATAAATCAGCCTAATGACTCTGCATTGGTACTCAGGAAAAGAATTGACAGGCAGCAGGAAAGCTCTTTCTGGGTTTTGCAACTCAAGGGATTTTCTTGGGTGGTATAAATTTTACTTTCTTTAAGAGTGGAGTTGAAACAGAGCACATGACTCAAAGGCAGTGCTCCTGGCTCGACTTTTTTTCAAATTTGCACTTTGGCAGCCTGACATACAGTGAATGCTCTGCTAACGGACACTCTCGTAAGCGGACAGCTCTACTTACGTCCACTCTCACAAAACACCATTGTTCTCAGCTCCCATACAAACTCTGCATTTTTACATTCCCAGAAGCAGCCAGCTCTAGTTAAGGACACCTTTTTCACGTGACAAGGGTGTCCGCTCATGAGAGCCTCCACTGTAATTACAAAATGGTTGCCAGGCAATTTGAAAATTAATATTGTTTGTGAGAACAAACAGGACACTTCTCTGGGCATTTAGCAATCAAATCCTGCACTATGCAGAGCATTACAATTAATACCAGTTTGACAATCATACACAATTATTTTACTGAAAATAGCTTTTTGTGGAGAGAGTGTTAGTGGAGAGGAGATATGAGCTGTAACTATATTTTGCAGTTTTGAACATACAGGACTTTCATACCTGGAAGAAAAGGATAATTTGTGGATTCTCCTCTTACAGAAGAAGAAAGTGGCCCAGGTTGTCGTAAAAGGGACATAGAATTTTTGGCTGTACATCCAGTATCTGTCACCATCACCTATTGTGAGTAAAAGATTGTAGAGGTGTGTTAAGTAAAATTAGTAAGACCATGCAGTCTGTTTCTTCCACTTACTGTAATAACAAGATTGTATAGTTGTCTTTAAAGTTATAATATATTTTTTTGGAACTTGTCAATCTCTCTACACTCTAGCCTTTTTCAAATGCTTCTTCTTACCTTCAAAAGTGTTAAATCAGTGGTGGTATAATTTTAATTTTTCCTGAGTTTTCTTCAAAATTTGACTTTTCTCTGACCTTGAAGAATTTTATTTTACCCTGATTTGAGGCAACCATGTTCACACAGGCAGCGGAAGTTTGAAATCAAGGTGCAGTGGAACTTATATTGAGGGGGTACCCTCAGGACCAAGGCAACTGTTCCCTGAATGGAGGTTGAGCTGAGGTTTGTTAATAGTAACCAAAAAATAAAAATATTTTTCTTTTAATCTGCCTTGGAATCAGCTGCTGCAGTCATTATTTCAAACAGCTAGATAATGTATTAAATGTTGTGATTAACTTATCTCTGGGATGTTGTGTGTTTGTGCAGTACATTGCTGTAACTAAGTGAGATAGTTTGTGTTTTGAAAACTGTTGCCATTGTGACTAGTGAACACTTAAAATTATCAATGATTTCTGTGGCCAGTCAGCACTAAGGTGTCCCCTGGATGGAGGCTAAACCTGGGTTTCGGGAGCCAGAAAAAGTGTGCCTTACCCCTGAATAGAGGTGTCCCTTCAAAGAGGTAACAGATACAAAGATTTTGTAACAGATACAAAGATTTTGTGAAAATTTTTTCCAGCACCAAAATTTGTGTCCCCTGAATGGAGGTGTCCCAAAGGATGCTAAAGGAGTTCCACTGTATAAAGCTAATAAAACACATTCAAACATGATATGCTTCACACCTCATTATATCCAAGAAGCTCTCCAGTTGTTGGATTTCGTTCTACTTTCAATGTTGATGGTACTGGACAGACATCACCAAAAAGCAAACTTTCTGGGTCTCTTTCACGGGGCCAGAACCTGACATAAAAAAAAGAAATGAAAGTTTATGTAATGGTCAAGCTCAGTACAAAGGAAAACAAATTGAGCGATAAGAATAGAATTGAGTCACCGCACATCGATGAACTTAACAAAAAATCTGAACTGTAAATCTATGTATACTATAAATTTTAAGTATTAAATGACTCCATCCTGACTTTGGATGTTGTTTGATGTGCTTTAAAATTTTAAGTGACATATATAAATACATGATTGTAATAAATAAATATGACATCTGTGAGTTATGTCAGTGAAAATTAGTATTATTTGGCAGTTAATCACTTAATGGAAGATGATCTAGGAAAGGTCTGTCTACATTGTATGTTTTTTATTCAAATAATGTTAAAGAACAGTAACTGAATATCCATGGACATTGCTGGAAAGAGGGTCTTAAAATAGGGTAACTTACCAAAGTTTAAAAGTGTTGCATGCAAAGAAATACATTATTGCTCCACAAATTCGCAAAATTTTTTTTTTTCTTTTAATTTTACCCTCCACCATGTAAACATCTGTAACATTCTGTGACTTTGCAGAGCTAGATTATTAGATCTTTGTTAGTTTTTCACAAATCACTGTAAAAGTTGGCAACTTTACTGATTTTAAGACAATTAATTTTTTTATTTCTTTCTAGCCGTGTTGACGGATTTTCTAACTGGTACCATTTATAACAGTAACCTCTGTGACTCAGCGACAGAAATTCCATACTGATGACGTAAAATCTGTCCGGAATCCGGTCAGAAGCGCTGATTGGTTGACAGAGTAGTTACATTGTTTTAGCTATTGTTTACCAACAACAGACAAAAGACAAAAGGCCACAAAGGTCAACTGTAAATGTGAAGAATCTCTGATACAACAGTCAATATTTGTGGAATATAGTCTTCTCTAGAAGAAGCATTTGAGTTTTGCTGGAGCTCGTTGGCGGATGAACACAACACTTTAACAAAATCAACCAGAAGACACGTAAAATTGGACAAATTTGTATTCGGAATCCCATGACTACTGGATTTATTGTGTAAACATGGGTTTGCGTCATCAGTATGGAATTTCTGCCTCTGAGTCACAGATGTTCCTCCTCGCGAAACGTCCCCAGCGGCGAAGAGCGAGGAGAAACGGATGTTTTTGCAGGCTAATTTTAAAGTTGAAAAAACCATGCAAGGATCTAATAAGTTTACAGATTCATTTTTGTCTGCTTAAAGAACTGTTCTCAAGATAATGATATTAACTCAGTTGTAATTATTCAATACATTGATACAACATTTTGGAGGCACTTACTAAAACCAGAAATAACCAGAAAAACATCTTGAGCAAGGTGGTATTACCTTTGGGTTTTATGGAAGTCATGGATGGGCAACACTGTAGGATCCAGAAGATATTTCTCCAAATCAGATTTTAAATCAGGGGTAAACAATGGAGGAAGGCCACAAGGGAGCTGAAAAGAAATAATAATACTTCTATGAACAAGAAAAGCAAATAATCATTTAATTTAAAGGGGTTATGTCACACAATTTGCTACCTTTTTAAAAGGCTAAAACTTTTTGCACATCTACTGAATTCCAAAAATAATGGTCCAGTTTCGTTATCTAAGACTAAAAGTCTGCATAGCTTGTGCTCGATTCACACAGTCATCTGGCATTACTCTGTCATTTTTCGAAACTCCAGGAGTGCTTGTAGTGCAGTTATCATGCAGCTCTCCTGCAGCCATTTGTGCAATGCTTGTAAGTCGCTAAAGCAGTGCTGCACCAGCGACGCATGTTTCGTACGGGATATTTTCACTTTGTAGCCAATAGAACTGTTCCATAACCATCTGCTGAAAAGGATGGCAAGGATGGACATGGCTGAAATTTCAAGCCAAAATTAAGGAGTAATTTGTCACCCATGATATTAAATAAATAATAATAATGATAATTTTAAAAAGAGGGAGCACAACTCTCCATTTATGGGCCCTCATGCTTCCTCACATGTCCTGATCTTCACTGCAATTGGCCGTAACACAAACATTCCTAAAATAATTCATGTGTTCACAGTTTTTATAGTTGATATTAACAAGATATCTATCGGCATAAAATAAAGTAAAAAAAATAAATTATTACGAAGAAAACATTATTACAATTACAACAACATTCTAATTTTCACAGCCCAACTTACTGTTGTGAGTGACTTCAGGTTATCATCAGATGTTTTACTGATTAAATCTGGAATTACTTCAATTGTTCCACTGCATCCAACTTCAAGGACACCAAAAGCATAATCTGGGGGTGACCCTTCTGTTTCTGAAAAATGACAATACAGTCAAAGCTCTTTAACAGACACTCTCGTATGTGGACAGTTCTACTTACAACCAACTTCACAAAACCTCAATTCAACTGCTACAGTGCACAGTATACAAACTGTGTATTTTTACATTCTGGTAAGCAAACAAAATTCCCGTAGGCAGCTGCGGACACTTTCAGGGTTTATGAGTTAGATTTTATCTTTGTTTCTAAGCTCCCATAAGCAGACACCTAAAATGAAATCTTAATCACCACTGAACAATATATCAATTTCACTGTTTGCTTGTTTTTGTTCTTTGTTTGTTTGTTTGTTTTTTTTCACATACATGTGCATGTCTGGTTATACTTCAAAACAGCACAGTTGAATTTTATGCTTGTGAATGAATTACTAACAAACAGTTTTTTGCATTTCCAAGGTATATTTGTAGTTGAGCAAGCACCCATAAGAGGCTATTTAACCCTTACATCTCTAATGGCCACTTGAGTGAACCATTCTCATAAGCAGCCAGATCCAGTAACAGACAGCTATTTCACGTCCTGAAGGTGTCTGCTTACGAGAGTTTCCACTGTAATAACAATTGGAAATCACTAAATGTTGAGGCTTATAACACTCCTTCAGAGCTATTAGATGAAAAATTTTAACTCTATTTAAATATTAACTATTTGTGAGAAATAGTATAAAATTGCTGCATGCATAATAAATGTATGAGGTGGTACGGAAATCTTCAAATGGTTGCTAACAACAACAACATGGCAATGAGCATACATAAAAAGAGAAAAATTTTAACTCTTATGTCACTTTGCTATCTTTTGATACCCGGTATAGTAAGCTTAATAGGTTTTATCTTATTTTATTCAGCTGTTTTTTTTATATTTTACCTCAGGCACAAAGGTATTATTTTATCTTTATATACGCCAATACAGAACACGACGTATTAAAATGATACTCTGAATACTCACCCTTTTCTGCCATGTTATTTTACTAGTTAACGAGGAGTTGTTTAGTACAAAATCCTGCAGATTTCGGCCGTTCATGGTCTCCCTCTCTCTTCCTCATCATTCGCCATCTTGACCGAGTGAGACCATTAGGAGGCTAGGTACTACTCTCCCCAGGCCCTCGCTAAAAAATGCTATCTCGGTCACCAGACCTTTTCGCGTTGTATTTGTTTAGAAAACACAGCCATAGGGGAGCGTTTTGATTAACGAATACAAATTTCCGAGGCACGGTATAGATCCGGTTTACTTTTCTTTCCAGCCTTTTCTTGTGAACAAGTGTATCGGGTGAGAACTCCAGGGGAAAAAATAATGGCTGCAGTGAGCGATGACGAGTACAATCTTGCCTTTTTGGACGAGGAGAATATTGATCTTGACGAAACTGACGCGGCATCAACTCGAGTTATTCAACTTGATAGAGATTCGGAAATCCCAACACGATATTTGATTCGAAAGATATTTTCTCCACAGTTAGAGCCTCCTTATCACTACGATCCTGCTGTAGAAACATCCCAGAGGAAAAAGAAGGTAAAAGTTCAGCTTTTGTTTATTAATTATTGTTCTTCAAAGCGACACATTGACAATTGAAAACCAAAAGATGTCTGTTCGTTTTATGAACATATGTGCCCCGAGAGATGTGATTTCCCGTTATCAGAGGTAAAGGGTTAACGCTGCCAGTGTTTAGTAGACAATAGAATGACAGGTAATATAACTTAAAGAGTGAACTAGTACAAAAGTTTGCAGCTTTTCGGCCGGTAGCTTTCATAACACGATTTACGCGCCATTTAAGCTTATCTTTCACGGAAAATTGTTACAGTAGCTGCTTATCATTCTTTGCAATTATAAATTTCAGCGTATTTTAGACTGCATATTATGGACATAAAGGGAAGCCTCTTTCACTCCACAAAATCGTGCTTTGGGGAAATAAAGTCACTTTCTGTCATTTTCCTAAAGGAAATTAACTCCTGCAGAATGTTTTATCGTGGCAAACTTTGACAAGTTTGTCGGTTTATCTAAAAATGATCACTTGCAGCGTCAATTTGTTCTCCTGCGATTGGTCAGAATCATTTTCGAACGTATGCATTTTGTACTTTTACTGGGTTTTGTTTTATCAAATTAATTCTTACTTGACATTTGTAAGAACTGCATTGTCTTTGATTGACAGCTTGCGTTGTTTGATAATGTTTTCGTGACATCCGCATGCACGCAGACATTTAATCTGCTAAATGACAGTTTTTTAGCCATATAGGAAATACTTATTCATAATTTTCTGATAAATGACTTAAAAACGTTCTAGTTGTCAAAACTCATTATCATGAACATACATTTCCCGTATTGGCAAAAAAAACTTTACATTCATGTAAATTATAATAATGTTTCTGTTTCACTGCACATGCTTCTAATAACTTTTCCGTTTGTAAGCTTAGTTACTTTTTACTTCTTTTCATTTTGATTATAATTATATTGAGGCGTTGCCAGGATTAATATTGAGCCCATTTTTGTACCTCATTTAGAGAAGAGGGGTGTTCCAATCTTTAGTGAGTATTTGATAACAAATACAATATACGTCTTCGAGGGAAACATCAGGACTCGAGGGAAAACAAAACTAACTGGTTTCTAGAGGGATCTGACATTAAGTGTTTTGTTATATTTCTAGACTTTCACTTCAACAAAACAATAACTGGAGCAAAATGAAACAGTCGACTCGGTACTTATAAGAACACAACTTGATTTCATTCTGAAAACCACGGAATGAATGATTTACAAAGTACTTTCCTTACATTATCTGCATCGTTTTCCTCCACTAGCTGCTGTTTCTCCTCAGGGATAACTTTGAAAATTGTTGCTTTTTAGCTTGAGGCTTGATGTTTGTGTTGTTGTGCCTGTTCATTCTTGAAAAAGAAAACTGGCAGTGTTTTTCCCGCCTTCTGTCATGCCACTTTCCATTATGCTTTGATCACGTGCTGTAATGTATCCCAAGCAGAGTACAATTGCTAAAATGTATCACAATCAGGACCAATTTGATTTTAGTCAAGGCCATTGTGACCAAGAATCAACCAATGGCATTCCCTTTTTAGTTGAGTGAAAGTCTAGGAATATTATAGACCTTGTCACAGTTTTGGAAGCCATCTTGATGAGTAGGCATCCATGTGAGAAATTACAGTGTTTGTATGAAAGTCTAATGTCGAATACCAAAAAAATCCAAAAATAAGCCCCGGGGCTTACATTTTTCAAAGGCCCTTTTTGAGGGGCCTATTTTTGGAGCGGTTATTTTCGGAGAGGCTTATTTGCGTTTCTAAATCGATTGGGCTAGCCTTACTGTTGGAAGGAAATTTACCGTTTTTGCTTTGTTTACTTTGTATTTGAGGGCAGTTTCCAAGTACAAGCCTGCGGGGCCTCATATTTGGAGGGGTGATTTAACGGACGGTTTTTTGCATTACAAGTTTGGGGGTCTTATATTAAAATGGAGGGGCTTGTTTTCAGAATTTTACAGTAATTTCCATAAAACGCCTGTTCTGAAAAAAGTGTAAATTTTAAACTAACGCTACACAGCAAAAGATTCTACTAACAAATGTTTGGTGCTGTACATTGTACCTGTGCTTAAATTTCCCCAGACACTTGCTTTAGATTTTTCATATATTTGTCTGCAATTTCTCCCGGGAAATGTTAGTCAGCAGGAAGAGAAATTTTTAGAGACAAATGTACGGAAAATTTAAAAAGTTGTTCTAGCACATGTAGCTGCATGTAATGCCCTCAGGTTTTATTAAATGAATCCTAAGGATTGAAGCTTTAGTTTCCAATTCATATTTTTTTCAGAACAGGTGTGTTAGCGAAATTATGCGACATTAGATTTTCATACAAACACTGTAAATTTCTCTCACATTTGCCTACTCGTCAAGATGGCTTCCAAAACCATGACAAGATTTATACTACATGTGACAACTAACGTTGTGAATGCTTTCCATTTCTGCAAGAACTATTGTACCCTAAGAATATTTCAATAAATAATAATATTTTGCTTTTGAACAAAAAGCCAAAATTGAAGTAAAGTCATACATATCGAGTTCAGTATAGTACAAACGTACCAAAAAGTTGTGAGCAGGCCAATGATAAATTTCAGGAAAAAAATCACAATAGTCTGTTCAAAGGGTATTATAAACCATGAGTTTTTGATGTGAGTGGTGTGCACATAATGCTGCATCCATTAGAAGAGCAGAAGACGTGTGTATTATACCACAGCAGTTATGAAAATTACCAAAAACAAGTCACTTGGGAGGTGTAGTTTTCATTGGAAACCTTTAGATTTTAAACTGAGGACCACTGTGTGGACATGATTTTATAAATACGAAGTAAGAGCAGTAGACACATGAACCAGAGTTATTTTGGGCAGAAAATGTGATGCAGTAGTTGTCGTCATTCTTTTGTATGAGTGTTAGTGAGAATGTTGAAGTGGCAGAAACAATCAAAGGTTAGAAGTTTCATCTTTACTAATAAGTAAAGCTTCCAAGGTGTATATTTTTTGAGAAAACATAAGAAAAACTTTGAGTTAAATTAAATTCTTCTCATAGTTGTCCTTGTTCTCAAAAATTTGAAGGTCTTCAGTTGGGATGCATTCAATGCGAGAATACAGGTATGCTGTGAGTCAAATTTAGCTAATTTTTAGTTTCATTTTGGTAATGGTAGGTCCATAGCACATGGGGAACTCCCATTGGAAAGGCAAGATATCGGCCCCCTCATCCTGATGATCTTGTTGCTCTTTTGAGTTTTGAAGCTACTTCTAATTCAAGCATCTCACAACTTGATGAGTCCACTGTTATGAAAATAACTGAAGTGGTAACAAAGAAAAGTGGTGATGTAAAACTGGTAGCCCTGCGCTACAGTGGTTTTCAAATTCTGGTGCTGTTTTCCAGTACTTCTGGTTATGAAACACTTGGAAAGTGTTTCTTGAATAAAGAGATTGAGGAGATCCATCATCTGAAACTCACTGAGATTCAAGGTAAAATGTTATGTGTTAGGCTATACTCACATGGTACCGGTCAAATTTTTGACTGGTCAAAAAATTCGTACGGTCAGTTGTTCTGTTCACATGGAATCCACGCTAACCATATGAAAATTTGAACACCTTGCTGTTCAAAATTTGAACTCTAAAATCGAGGTAAATTTTTGACCGATATGGTCGAAAATTTGAACGGCAAGGTGTTAGCACCGTGACTGGCTGAATTTTTCTATGGGAAAGGCATGGTTGGATGGATGTGTGGTTATTCAGCTCCCAAAAATAGAGAGTTGCAAAAATTAACCATAACGTTAAAACAGATCTCATTTTGTGAACATGGATTTAAAAAACAAGTTATGTCATATCGACGCAAAAAATTGATCGATTTTACCGAATTTGCCCAAAAAAATCCAGCGAAATCCTGTTTTTATTGATTGTTTCTTGGCGAAGTTTCCCCGGAAATTTTTTTAAGAATTTGGAAATTTGACTTTTTGAGAAATAGGCCGATTTTTCTGCAATTTTGACTCTTTTAGTCCAGTGTGAACAGCACAAAAATATTGAATGGTTCCGTGTGAACAAAGTGTCTGCTTAATTTTTTTAACTGGTCAAAAAATGGACTGGAACTGCTTGAACATACATGTAGCCTTTAATATTGTGTAAATCTTTTTGCCTTTTTTGAGAAAAATAACCTTGTTTACATTTGTTATTGTGTTCATAACTACACTGTGATTGACTGTGTAAACTACATTGTGGATCAATGTCTTCTTCCCAGACATCTCTCACATGTTTTAACAGCATAAAACAATGATTAGAATCTTACTACGAAGATTTCTGTGACCACCAATGATTGACCTTTGATATTATTTTTTTTCTATAATAAAATTGTTTGTCTTTGTATTTGTTTCTTTCTTATAGAAAAAAAGGAAACAAATAGAGAGGTACTTAGGTATTTGGAAAAATCTGGGATAAAAATGTTAGCCCATAGTATAGTATATGCAGAAATGAGGACAAATTGAGTTTTGTATGAGACATTTGGTGCCCTTTACAGGAGACTAGGAAGTTTTTTCTGTTTCCAGAAGACTCCTGGATGATCAGGAAGAGTTGGCATACATTCAGTTAAAGTGTCAGTAATGTACATGTAAGTGACTTGCTGCTGATAATATTATGTGTAATTGTCTCTCTTCTTTGTCTCTTAGCTGTGTCTCTTGCAACTCCTCCACCCTGTTATATAGAGATGGCTGTTCCAACTGATGAAGGACCAGCCCTGAAAGGAACCCTCACGTCATTACTGGTGCCTCATCAATCTGTGTTCCCATTTGTGTGCGTCAGAGAACCAGAACACAAATTCACCAATGGAGGTAGCCCTTCCAATTCTCCTGCCTCTAAAACCAGGAGAATCGATGATCATGGCCTCACATCACCTGCTATTGGCATGATGCTGATGTTTACACAGCGAGCACAAAAGAATTCTGACAGGTGTTTGGATGTAGTTAAGTCTAGTTCTACAGACTGGGAGGAGGTGAAAGTTCCACAAGCCATCTCTGAAGAAGATGAAGTTTATTTCAAGACTGCAAATATTGATGGGCCACTATTTGCAGTGAAGAGACTTTCACCCTGTCCTGGAGTTCGCATTTTACTCTATGTGAACAACAGTATGGATGAGATGGAGAAATTTTACACATTAATCACTGGTAAAACTCCACTTGCTTATAACAAGATTGAAGAAGGCTTGAGCTACCGTAAATTTCCACTCTCTGACAAACTAGAACTTGAACTTGTTTTGCACCCGTCTCTCAAATCACACACTGTGAAAAACACTGCTCTTTGTTTCATGATGAATGGAGTGAACAAAATGTGTTCTGAAATTCCAGGTGGAGTTCGAAACATTGGAGAAGGACATTGGCAAGTCAAAGATCCCCAGGGGAATGCAGTTATACTTTATAGTTTGTTAAAATAGCTGGCTGTTTATTTTTGTAGCTTTTAAATGTGAAGTTTTACATTTTCTTTCATTTTTCAAAAGAGCACAAGGGCACTTTTTCTGGGAAAATACTCTATAAAATAACATGACTACATGTAACAGCAAACACAGAGAGTCCTTTTATTAATGTACTATCAACACAGGGACCCAAGCTCACAATTATTGTGAATTGTTGTATGGTCCATTAAATTTCAAGAGTTTGGATTGTATTGATCACATTTTAGGAGTCAAAGGGTAGCAGAATTCCTTACCTTTTCTCCATTTGAGTGTGTGTTCCTGGCTTTTAAGGCTGTTTCAGAGTGATTCCAGTAAGTTTTAGTTACAAGAGAGAAAAACAGCACAAATAAAACTTGAAAGAATCACTCTGAGACAGCCTCAAATACCAGGAACACACAGTAAATAGCCCATGGAGACAAGGTAAGGAATTCCTCTCCAGTTTTTTACTCCTGTACGGCAATTTCTGTAATCCCCATACAAACCCCTTATAATCAATCGTTGCACAACAATTTCCCATTTTGTCTCAGCTTCTACAACCTGTGGTATTCACCCCTAGAGGTAACTTATGATGAATTACACACATATCACTTCCTTAATCTACATTGTACTTTTATTAAAACTCATTCATGTAGCTTCATTCTTGCCTCTTCAGGTTTCGGCAGTTTAAAAGATAAGTAGTGCTATCCACCTGGGCCGAGTTGTTCAAAGCTGAATTAAGATAACCCAGGGTTAGTGCGAAATTTGAATTCATATTTGAAAGCTTAAAAAGCATTTCAGTTTTAATTCTTTTTGTCTACAAGTTGATGATTGGAAGCTCTAAAATTAACAGAGAAAATTATCCGAGAAAATGCTTTTGAACACAAGAAAAAAAAAGGGGTTAAATTTAACCCTGGGTTAAGCGCTAATCGGCCTTCGAACAACTGGGCCCTGATAAATCACCATCCAAGAGATAAGTATTAGGAAAACCAATTGCATTATAGAGTAGATAAAGATGTATCCATTGGATAGGGCTATGCCCCTTTTGAACAACTGAAGGCTGCAGCCAGTTGTTCAAAAGATCCATTGGATAAATTCTTATCCAATATAAAAATTATTGCTATCCAGTGGATAATGATTTATCCGGTGGATGGCGCTATTGAATAACTATTAATTTTTCCCTTAGACAAATCAAATTCCTGACACATGGGAAGATATAGGTCGCTCTCACGCATAGTAGCTTCCACGTAATTCAATTTTTTTTTTTTTAGGAGCTGTTTTGCTAAATTCAATGTTGTATTTTAGAAGATAAATATTTAAGATGCTTTAGAATGTTTTAAAATATTTTGCTGTGTGGTTTTCTTTGTCTTTTCCATGTTTTATCCTTTTGGGTTAAGTATGCATGCAGTATATGTGCTGCTTGGAACTCTAACACCCGGGGGGGTAGGGGGGGACTCCGCATATGAAAGTGGTGGGGATGCTCGTCGTCTCGCTTAGGGATGTAAATTTCGGATTTTGGTCTCATTTAGGGTGTTCTGGGCAAAACACCATCATATTTAGCCATGAAGGTCTCGTTTAGGGTTGCCAGCGAAAAAATATAAATATATATATTTGATATGTATATTTTTAATTCGTTTTGTTTACTCCATTCATATAATCTAAGTTTTCTCATTTGTCTGTGTTTTAACATGGTCTCTTTTAGGGATCAAAAGAAGCTCGGGCCACGCCCAGATCGGTCTCCTTTAGGGGTTTAATTCAAAATTTCCGACAAGCATTCCTACCCCTTTCATATGCGGAGTTCCCCCCCCCCCCCGGTTCTAACAGGTTGTTTTCGGAATTTTTTGTCTCTTCTGCTCTCGCAACTCTCGAAGAAGCGACAGCAGGCTATAGGTCTTCATTTCATTTATTTAGACTATCTTGCATTCTGAGTTTCTAAGATTACATCATTAATTTATAAATTAGTTTTACATAGATGTTGCATAATGGTAAAATAATTGCACATATCACGTACAAGACATCTCGTCGTCCTATTCTTACTCTTTAATTTACGTTCTCAATGATTCAAATCCTGATCTCAAAGACTTTAAAGAACCTATGGGTTGGGAATAGTGTAGAACCGAGTGTTCAGCAAAAACAGTTTATTGTGAAGGAACTTATTATTGTAAGAAATGAGGTTATTTTATCATAACAATTTTATTAATTATTTTAACATAATAGTTTTAGGATAACTCATTAATTGATAATTGAACAATGCCTTGTTTAAAAGAAGATGTAACTAATTTCTAGCTGACCTTTGAACTGTTCTTTCGATAATTTGTTTATAGTTAATTATAATTATTTCTTTCGATAATTTGTTTATAGTTAACAGTATTAAAATACTGTTAACTATACCAGATTAGCGCTTCCAGAGATCAGATGTGTAAACTAGTAATAGTTGACACTACAGCTGCGCCCGCTCTGTATATGTTGTCGGTCAATGGTATTCTTGGTCGTTGTGCAGCTCTGACAAATAATTTATAACGATTCATAATGAAGATTTTCATACATATTCCATACAAACGCAGAGATAAAAACAGGAAAAGCCAGGTTCCACGCACTGATTCAGTCTAAACCATAAGAAAAGATTTGATTAGAAGTTGGAATTTTTCGTTATTTCTCTTTCAGTTTTTACATACAGTCCATTTTATTAGCCGGAAAGTAAGAGTTAGAAATTAAAAGGTTTGATCAATTCAGGCTCTCGCGTTCTCATTTTTTTTACATATTAGACAATGCTTTAAAAAAACTCTATAGAAGGACATCTGTGAGCAGGGAATACGTCAGCACAGAATTTAATTGTCGGCGAATTTCTGTAATCGACCATCGCCCCCAAAGAGAGAGAAAGAGCGTGTGGCAAATTGTTTCCAATGAAAGATTTGTGAATGATAGGCTCTTGTCTGGCAAACTCTCCTAGTGTTTATACATATTACACAGTTATACACACCTCTTCACTTCATCTGCGCTTTGGAGTGTGTCTTTTGGTCCATTCAAAACAGCTGCCCCACAGAATGTCACTGATAAAAAGTAACGCAAAAGAGTATCGAAGTATGACAAGGCCTGTCCCGATTGTGCTCGACAACTTTTGAGCAACTTTTGGCGTTGGGAGCAACTTTTTGTGGTTCTAGCAACATGGAGATGAGCAATTTCTGAGCAAAATACAGGGTTCAGCACATATCAAGCGCGAAAAAGTCAACGATAGATGTTGACTTTGAAGTTGACAGAAGTTCATAGAAAACTTCAAGATACTGGAATTTGTCACCAACCCAGACATGCGAAAGGTAAGCATAATAAGGAAAATTTCTATACACATTTCGATATATTATAGAAAAAAAAAAAAATTGATAATAAGGCCTCTCATAGAGAGCTTGGGCTACCTGTGCTCTTGCACTAAAATAACGCCAAATTAAGTGTATCAGATGCTTGGTGGTCGTTAATAGACGTTTTTTTTTTTAATTTACAATTCTGATCTACAATTATTTCTGGACTTAGCCTGCAATTACAGTCGTCTGTCCGCGTTCCGAGCCGAAAAGATCTTTGCAGCGCTTCCAAAAGCCCTCCCAGTGTAGAGCCTTTTCTCCAGAAAGCGGCGGAAATCGAGCCTCGGTGCTCTTCCCTTCCAAATAACTTTCTTCTGGTTAGTTTTCGGTAAAGGCAATAAGGTACCAAGCTCTCTTTTTTCGTAAGCTTTTGCCTATTTTGAGACCTGAGAACTGTCCGCCTTATGAAGGAGTAACTCCTAATTGATAGTTGAGCCGCAGACAATGAACGTGAAAAAGCAAAACCGTGTTATGATATTAGACCTAACAATTTACAATTTACAATTTAAGAATGTTTAATTGGGAAAATAATTCTCCGTCTATATCACAAGTCTAGCCACAGCCCAGAGGATTATGTACTAGATGCATTTTTCAATAAAAATGCCTCGAGTGGCCTAAATCGCTTGACATAAAACTCCGTCACACCTGCGAGGTCCCCCAATACGTACGGCTCCAGCTCACGAGTGGTTTGATTGATGTAGGTTATGGTCGACTTGCCCTTCTCCCCCTCAGTTTCTTTTATCAGCAATCCTGAACACAAGTGTTCTTTACGATTATACTCTGGGAAAGGTGGTAGAGTCGTCAATTTGACTGACCGGTAAGCAATCGTAAAGTGGTCTCTTGTGTCGCAAGGGATCCTGCGTGACACCAAAAGAACCACATCATCTGGTTTTGTTGCGTTACGCATGTTGTTCTCCAAAACCATGTGAAGAATCTCGTCGTCATCGTCGACGACCTCTGCTACCTCTACTTTGATCAAAAGTGGGTCCCATTCTTTTCGACCATTTTCATTCCTCAACAGCGCAAACACTTCACCGGGAGGAACGGCTACACATAGAGTGGCTTTCACACAAAGGTAACTGTCGCTTTCACATTTGAAAAGCGTGACACCTGACGAGGATCGCACCTGCTCCCATTTGGTGAGTTCGTAAAGTTTCACCAGTGCTTCTACGTTGTTGTAGTTCAGCAGCTGACTTATATTGTGATTCCAAGGAATGGCGATGACGGGTCCCACCGATTTACGGATCTGTTCCCGCTCTAAGCGGAGGCGTTTTCTGGCCATAGCCTCACGCGCGCGTCGTTGCGCTTCCTCGGTGTCTAATCGCAAAGGTGCCAGGATCTTTGGAGCGCCAGTCTTGTCAGGTGCAACAAAAATCAAAAAAGCACTGTTGACGTGTCGCACTTCACCTCCGATTGAATAAGCCTCTACTCGACATCCTACTTCCATATGCACGTCATACGTGTTATTAACCATAGTTTTAATGATTACCCGATCTCCGACCTTGATGGGACCTCGAAATTTGACCTCGTCAACAGCTCGCAGCTGCGGATGGGATCTGCAAAGGCGGGTAGCAGCGATGGTGCAGGCGGCTACCATCCAAGCCATCACTTGACCACCAAACGCTGTTTGATGATGGTTTGCATGCGGGGGAAGAACAAGCTCCACACTTTCTAGTGTAGTCTTGAAAGGCGAGATTTTCTCATCAGTGGACTTTACATTCTCTGGGAGAGAAGTCCATTGTTGACTCTCGGTCTCGCCATTCTGCTTTAGCGCAAGCTCTTTGAGGTTAGTCGGATACTGTATCCGCAATCTTCTTCTCTCGTTGGCTAGAGCATACTGTAATTTTTCCTCAGCTGTGAATGGCACAACAGGAGTCAACCGCTGTTTTTGATTGTTTTTATCCAACGCCACGAAAGTGAAAAAAGCATTGCAAACTTCTTGCACCTTGCCACTAAGAAGGTTCTCCACCTTTACCGAAACTCCAACCTCCATGCTCGTGTTGAACGCTCGATTCACTCGTGCCGTCAAGTTAACAACCTGGCCGACGTAGATTTGCTGTGCGAAATACAGCTCGTCCATGGACGCCGTCACACAAGATGCTCGAGCGTGTTTCTCGGCCGCGAGACACGCCACGGCGTCCATCCATTTCAAAAGCTGTCCTCCACTGAGGCAATTTTCTTGCCGTTCGTTCGTGTGCGTTGGAAGAACAAGTTGATTCATTTCCACCTCCGAAGCATTTTTGTAGTCCATTATTGACACTCAAAGTTTTTTAACAGCAAGTAAATCACTCTTCGGTAACTCCGCATTTATCAATGACTTTTACATAATCTGCCTCGTTCTTGCATAACCAAATTCAGAGGGAAAATGTAAACTTTATCTCCTCTTTGACTTTCGGTGAAGTGGTTTAATAATCCTTAAGCAACAAATCAGTTACATCACAAATATTGTAAACAGGGACATAGATTTGCATATGCCTGATCAGAGATTTGTTTGCGTAACGCCTTGAGATGCATAAATCAGTAACGACACATGAAGACGTCCTGGGTCCTACGCAAGACGAGAAAGCCAAAGAAAGTATGACTGATAAAACGAGACTGGTTTATCTGAATTTCAGTGTCCTATAAGCCTTTTTGACCAAATGTCGCATTAGGAAAGATTTTACTTAAAACCCTATAAAGTGACACAATAGCTAACACATTTTCCGCGTTCTTTCTTCTACGTTTTGTTTTTGTTTCTTTTTTCATCTTAATATTTAACTGGGAATTTTTTTTTAATTATCATCATTATTATTTTGCTGCTTCTTGTTCTCTCTAGATTTTTCTTGGCGGCAAAGTTTTCACGAAAACGACAAGGGACTTGTAATGTGTTACACAATGTTTTTTATTTCGTCACGCAACGCTCCTCCCCAAAAAGGAACTGAAGGTGATCCAACGACGCGTACGGCAACGAAAAGGTGAAAGAAACAATAGGTTTAATAAGCAAAACAACAACTTCGCACGCACGTGCATCACACTTTTTTGTACATTTCTTTACCGTTTTTACACGACTACGACGTGGAAATGCCTTATTTCGCGTTTTATAGAGGACGTAAACAAGCAACGACGAAATTTTATTTCTCTTTCTGAACTTGGATATGGTCACTTGAAATTCAGCTTCAGGAGGGTTCGCCCACATTTGACAAAGTAAGTGGGTAGGAATAATCACTATAAAGACTGAAAGAACGCAAATTCACTTTTTAAGCAACGCTCTCGTTGTCGTCGCGTCGTTGGATCTTAAAGTAAACTTACTGCAATTACACCTCATTTACGTGATCGTGATGCGTTATAGCTCAGTTTTTTTTCCCTTGTGATGTGTGATGGTCTAAAAAAGTCAGCGTGATGCATGAGAGTGTGCCTTAGTTTTGTTTCTTAGTATTTGTAGCAATTTTCTTTATTGTAACCGCATTTTATGGCACAATGGTCGAATATAGTTCGTCCCTAGTATAAATTCGGTGCTAATACGAATTATGAGCAAAATTCGTCTGAGGCCAATTCGTCTGTTAGCACGTCTTGAAGACGTGCCAAATTTATATCTAGACGGAATGTAGACAGTTTTTTGACGAAGCTCCACATGAGAGTGACTGGTTTCTATATTTTCGCAGTGTTTCCTGTTTCCCGCGTAAAATATCTAGACAAATTATCGTCTAAGTATAAATCCGAAGACGAATTTTGACGAATAATTTGTTTAGATATTTTACGCGGGAGACAGGAAACACTGCGAAAATATAGAAACTAGTCCCTCTCATATGGAACTTCGGCAAAAAAACCGTTTACATTCCGTCTAGATATAAATTTAGCACGTCTTCAAGACGTGCTAACAGACGAATCGGCCGGCGAATTATCCGTCTGACGGATAATTCGTCTCTGGTATAAATTCGGCCAATGCATGATTTTCCGCTAGCCGGCACGTGTAGTTTTTTCTAAGGCTCGGAGAAATTCGACTGGTAACCATCTCGATCAAGAAACTTCTTTATTGCTGTTGAACTCTAGCCAGCGAAAACAGCCGTTTCTCGTCGCTCCTCACAGCTGGGGACGTTTCGCCAAGGGGACTAGCCTGTACCAGACTCTCAGATAGTATAGTGGGAACGTATTAAAACGAACAAAGCGAAAATAAGACGCGCAAGACTTGGGAAAGGGGGCGGTGGCGGCGAGAATAATGCCCTGTCTCTCCCCAGCCCCCGCGCGTTTTTTGCATTTCTTATTACTGAACGACTATCCACCACCATCTCGGAGGCTGGAACAGGCTACAAGGGGACGGTTTCTCGATCCTCGCGAAACGTCCCCCAGCGGCGATGAGCGCGCAGAAACGTCTGTTTTCACAGGCTAGTTGAACTCGGAACCTACTACACCGTTCGCCCCAACACGTTACAACGGGATTGCTGTAAGCCGGTTGGCGCAATAAACTCTTATGTCTTGTGGAATCTGTGAGTCATTTTAAGCCCGGTTTACACTACAGAAAATTTTTGGCACGGCTCGGGTGAAATTGGCACGGGTGCCAAAAAAGAGCTCGGCAAACTTTGCTTACACTACACCTGACCATTTTCACCGCACCAAAAATACCGTGCCAAAATTTTTTGGCCCGCGTAAGTTCTCTTGGAGACATGCGCAGTTCAATTAGAAGCAAAGATGGACGACGAAGCCTTCCTGCTGTAGCTCTTAAGAAAGACGTTTCACAAAGTTCAAAGCTCAACTATGGACACTGAATTTGGCAAAAATTTGCCGGCAAGAATCCTCTACCTTAAAAAAAAAAGTAAACAAGGAAACATTTTATGTTTCTTGCGGCTATAATGTTGACAAATCCACCCAACGATAGAAGCGTACAAGTTTTGGTTCGGCATGGTTGAAATTTGGTACGGACAGGTTGTTTACACTGCAAATTTTATCCGAGCCGAACCCTCTTTTTGGAACCCGTGCCATTTTCACCCGAGCCGTGCTCTTAAATCATATATTTGAAAATCATATACAGAATCAATTCAAACTTTTACAAGCTAAGCTTTCATGTTACGGCAACGGAGCCTTCTCCTATGGCGAAGGGAGTCTCCGTCGTATCATTTTTTTAAAGTAGATGCTGTAGATGCCTACAGCTTTGTATCATATTCACTACTTTAACATTGCTCATACACCGAATGCTTGTTTACCTCTCAAACTTTTGCAAAAGCATTGTAGTCCATTTTCCTTGAGACGACTGGAAAAAGGAAAAGTCAGAAACTAATTACAAATTTTGGGGATAAAAAGGCGTATTATGGGCAATGTGTAAATGGTGAATCAACAGGATAAAAAGCATTTTGATTAAATCTTATTTATATGCAAGAGTACTGAAATCTATTCGACGGCTGTGTAAACTATTCAGAATGTTTAGTAGCATAGATACCAAAATTGTTTTCCATTTTCTAAGTGTTGACTCGTTCATGCCCACTATTCAAATCACATGTATTGAAGAGATCAATAAACACTTTATTCTGGATTAACATGTAAAATGAAAATAATCTTAAAATCACATAAACCAAATAATACTAACGGTTTTTTATATTCGAACGAAATCAGTATTTTCCTGCCAATTTAAACGAATTCTTAACATAGACCTCCTGTAGACCACTGTTTCAGATAATCATTGGATCACCAGCTCAGATTTTTAGTAGATCAATTAATAAATGTTTTTCTTTTCTGTCTTTTTGCCTCTCAAACGTTGGAGTAGCAGACATTGGATTTGGCTGAACTATTAAACTCCCTCTACGTTGTTTGCATTAATTAGTTAAACTGTAAAACACACAAATGCAAATCAGCCTAATAATTACTTAATAACTGGGAATTCATCAAGATCTGTGTTCCTTCGGGTGTTGGAAACTTCTTCAGGATGTAATTCAATGCAAATTTATCTTTCGCGGTGGTACACCAGAACAGACCACATTTTGTGGAGAGACTTCATCTGTACAATATATTTCTTTGTGTCCGCAGAGATTTTTATCATTGCTATTTCGAAAACATGGAATGGAAATTTCGCGTCTTATTTTTCTTGGTTATCTTCGTAATATTTGGAGTACTGATAATGCTATCGTCGTCAGAAATCAAGAAAGGTAAGAGTGCAATAAATTTAAAAAATAATGGCGTTATTCATGGTTTTTGTTGCCTCGACTATGACTAAACCTGAATCGGGATTTAACATAGAGAGGATCGCATTTTTTTGCTTTACCGTACTAGTGCTGCAACACCTTTTAAACTGAGTGGTTCTATAAACAGTTACCCTTATTAAGGATAGTAAGGATTTATTTCTGCCATCATTCAGATAAAATTTGAATTCATCATTTTAAAAATATAATATTCAAAAAGTCTCGTCGAAAGAAGTGGTAAAATTAACAACCTGCTGGAAATTAAAAGACGTCTCAATGAATCTTGCTGTTTCCAGTATTCTATTCTCTCAGCATGATTTCAAGTCACAATTTTCAAAAGCTCTTTCTTTCAATCGACAGACGAGATCACGTGACTTCATGAGGCACTTAAAATTATCCCGTTTTGTGGCGGTCGCTCTGAGTGAGGAAATTCTGTTAAACATGTTTATGCCAGAGTAAACAAGCAACAATTTGACTTCAGCGAAGTTTAAGAGCCAATCTTGGACTTATTCTGCCTTCAAGATTTCCAAAAAAACCTCTTGTACACGCAGACTTAAACAAATTTCCGATCTAGTGTTCCTAAGGGTTGACTGGCGCTGGTAATTAGTTATCAGTGAGTTATGACATGCATGTCACCCTGTGCTTACAAGTCATACATTTATTTTGTTCTGTTTCAAAACAAAGCCGACAACCATCATGCTATAATTTTCTTCCCCTTTAATCTTCCACATCACTCACGTATTACTTCGTTCTTGTTGACACGAGAACATAACGTTCCTTTAAAACTGTTCTTCTTTGCTCCTTTCTTTAAGTGTGGCCAAGGCTTCACACACATTACAGGATTTTGAGTTTCTAAGCCTCGGCAAAAATTATGGATGAAAAGCGTCCGTTCATTCCGGAGGGTTTAGAATGCCGAGCACGGATAGAAAAAAGCTTTTATCCTAGAATTTTGTGGCTTTTTTGTCGCCTTGGAATTGCCATGTTTTGGCTAGAATGCCAGTTCTGACGGTTGAAATGACCTGCGGCTTGATTTGATAGGTCTTGCCATTTATCATTTCTCGGCGTTTCGCCTAAGTGAATCTTTTTACTTAGGCTATGTTCACGCTTTACCGGATAGCTTTGCGCTGCCACGAAAATCATAACGGATGGGGATTCTGTTCGCACACAAAAACGGCGATTGCGGCGCGACTGCTGTGACGACGATCGGATAGGTTTTCAGTGTGCCATACTTTAGTGCAATGTGAACCAAGAGAGACAGACATTCTCTCTTGGTGTGAACACAATAAGTAGGAGTAAGTAGGAACGAGGACTGAATATTCAGGAGTGAGGACTGTACCAACCCTCTAGGAACGACTTGTCGATCCCCCTCCAGGCTGTTGCTGTTCGTACTGCACCCGACGTCATGCAGCTTTTCGTGGCGCAACGAAAAGCTATCCGCTATCCGATATAGTCTATTTATTTATTTACCAGCTTTTCTGGCATAGGCCTGCCCAGAGGGAATACGCACGAACGGGACTCGGGTCCCATACGAGGTGCCATCCCTACCCAATCCCACAACCCGCAAAGGTTGACCACACCACCGCGGTCTACGGCCCCTACTCTTTTCGAATAGTGATGGGGGTTCTTTTACGTCCCACAAGAACAAATCAGTGAAAGTGCTGTGAGACGGGACCTACGGTTTTACGTCCTTATCCGAGAAGACTAGAAAGTCTAACCATTTGCAGATGTCATTACAAAGGCAGCACTTTCCTCTCAGTTAATTAAAGACCCTGAGTCTTGGTCCGACCGGGGTTTTAACCGCCGAGACCGGCGCTCTCCCAACTGAGCTAACCAGGCGGCGGTCAAGACGATCTGAACATAACCTTATTTTAGTTTTCCTAACATCGCCCAGGCCTGAGTAAGGCCACTGTCTGTTGAAACGCAGCGATATAAATTTTTCTCTCTTTTCAGTTTCAGAAGCGCGGATTGCAATCCAGACTGATGTGTCGGTAAGTAATAGAACATAGTGTAACTATTAATTAAATTGAGTAAAAACCAAAATGCAGCCCTTAATCGGTCTCGTCAAATTAGATACCTCAGCACTTAAATGGACGACCACATGAAAAGAATTTTGTAATGACATTTAATATTCATTGAATATGCGTCTTAGGCAGGTTTGGATGTAGCTATCAAGAAAGACTGAAAACCCAATAGTTTTCTTGTTTTCACAGACAGTGACGGCCATATCAGCACAAGAACTTTTGCTAACTAAACTAGCTGAAAGGCAAGAAATGAGGATACAACAACTGAAAAATTACTGCTTGGAACATTCGAACGAAAAGTTACCGTGGGACAGAAAACGGCAACTCGACCAATTTCTTGTCGACGATGACAATAAATTTATTTACTGTGCCGTTCCTAAGGTGGGAACCACACCCATGAAGATGACGCTACTGCGTTTGAGGAACGACAGCAGAATAAAACTTACGGGAGGTTCAGTTCATCTTCCTAAATACTGGAGGCGTTTAAGTGATCAAGAATTCAACGAAACAGAGTTATCCAAACGTCAAAATACACATTTCAACTTTCTGTTTGTTCGAGAGCCGTTTCACCGACTTCTGTCCGGCTACAAAGATAAATTCTTTGGAAAAAACAGAGTTTATACCAACGGGTATCGTCAACTGATAGTGAGAGCTTTGAGGCCAAAGGACGAGGAGAAGTTTGCAACAGAGACGAATAACGTTACATTCACCGAGTTTCTAACGTATCTCTTATCTGATAGAAACCCGATGATTCGCGATGGTCACTGGAAGCAAGCACAAAAACTTTGCTTTCCGTGCGCTTTTGACTTCGACTTTATTGGCCATTTTGAGACGCTTCAAGAGGACGCAGATTATTTGCTGAGCAAAACGGGTTTTAATGACCGTGTTAAATTCCCAGTCGTACGTACGTCACAGGTTTCTAGTGAATTTTTAGAGTATTACTCAGAAGTTCCAAAGGAAATAATATTCAAACTGGGAGAAGCTTTCAGGAGTGACTTTGAAATGTTCGGCTATGCATTCCCTGGACCTCTAAAAAGTTTACTTGAAAACTATTTTAATAATAGTACCCAAAGTTAAAATCTTTGATTTTTTGACGAAAAAAAGTTAAATTATTAGGATTTATAGCTAGAACGTTGTTTATTAGAAGAATATTTAATATTAAACAAATTATTGCGGGCAAGAAAACTGAGAGCCGCAGAATAAAACGTGGAGGCAATGGCCGTTGGCACTTTCTTGAACTATGTATGGCCGATTTGAAGCAAATGTGGGCACATAATTGCCATTCCTTTGTTCTTACAACTGGTCTGAATGGTAGGTGGGTGAAGGCCCTGGTGTTGAGTTCAAGGTCCGTTCGGGCGTTTGAGGTGCCCGCGGAGGATGTGCACAGAACAGGAGCCCATAAACCGGAACGTGCAACTCCCGTTGTTTTCCTTCCAACGGCGTTTTCACAAATCAACTTATTTTTAGCTCCATTTTTCAGCACTTTTTCCCGCGAAAATGGAAGCACCTTTCCGTATGCGCGCGTATCCGTGGGTACGATAGTTACAAAAAGAAGTAAATGCTATCAAAATATCAAAAATACTTTTTTAGTCTCCGGCTTTTGATGACTAGTAGTAGTAAACCTTTATTTAACTAGGGTAATCCCTTCAGAATACTTAGAAGTATATCTGTTATCAATAGGAACCCTAAATTAAGACTAATAAAAAAAGTTCAAAATAAATAATAAGAAACTGATTTGTAAGACTTATTTTAAATTCAAGCTTTGCGGGAAAATCGAACTAAAAATAAACTGGTCTGTGAAAACGCCGTTGCACAGGCACTAGCGAGGTGCTCGCTCCGGGTTATGGGCTTCTGACAGAAGCTTGCTGTTTGTGCTCACGTGGTTTTTAAATTTTTTGAAGCACATCGTACATGCACCGTGTATGCACGTACACAAATGCGAAACGTGCTTTAGTCAAGATACATATGATTACGAAGCTTAAAATCCAGATATAGTTTAACGGTTCCTCTTCATCTCCCCTATAATTTGTAAAGAGTGGTGTCATTTCAAAGCATGTTTATATGCTGCAACATGTATGCGGCGAGTACCGTGAGAGTAGTGGATAGCTTATCATCTTCATCTTCCATTAGCTTAAAAATATACTTGCATTTCATGATTCAGCATTTTAACTCAACCCACGTTAGTCACTGTCACCGAAAAGTCGACAATGTTTGGTTGCATCAAGCAAGAAGTCGACCCATTTTCGTCACACCAAGAGAGAATAAGCTCATTCTCTCTTGGTCGCACACAAGACCCTTTACAGTCCACTGTCGCACAACAGCGACACGCCACAATGATACAAACCAAATCAGTCTTATTGGAGAAAACTCGTTCTGAGTGGAAGGATCACTCACCTACTCGAGTTATCCTGGGCGCGCCAACTTTTCCTTCACTTCCTTACAAAACTTGGCGAAATGTTTACTTGAGAACAAAATGTTGGCTCGGCTAGAAGGGGTCACTGCCTTGCTCAGTCGGGTCAACTCGGTGAAGTTGGGGGAAACTATTAGATCATGCGTGAACATTGTTGTCAGGTAGTCCTGAGCACGGCCAAAAGGGTCATGACAATTTTCTTCCCACATAAACGCTCGCAAAAGTTGCCTCGGCTGGGAATAAGGTGAACGTGATTGTTAATCTCTCTAAATACGCAACGAAATCAACGCCCGAGTCCCACAAATCTGAAGATACGTTTCATTCCCCTGTCGTACTTAGTCCGATATCCGGAATAGAAAAGAGAGAGACAGTGGCAAGTTGTCTCTCCCCAGTCCCCGCGCGTTTTTTGCATTTCTTATTACTGAACGACTTTCCACCGCCATCTCGGAGGGTGGAACAGGCTACAAGGGGACGGTTTCTCGATCCTCGCGAAACGTCCCCCAGCGGCGATGAGCGAGCAGAAACATCTGTTTTCACAAGCTAGTTGAACTCGGAACCTACTACAGCGTTCGCCCCAACACGTTACAACGGGATTGCTGTAAGCCGGTTGGCGCAATAAACTCTTATGTCTTGTGGAATCTGTGAGTCATTTTAAGCCCGGTTTACACCACAGAAAATTTTTGGCACGGCTCGGGTGAAATTGGCACGGGTGCCAAAAAAGAGCTCGGCAAACTTTGTTTACACTACACCAGACCATTTTCACCGCACCAAAAATACCGTGCCAAAATTTTTTGGCCCGCGTAAGTTCTCTTGGAGACATGCGCAGTTCAATTAGAAGCAAAGATGGACGACGAAGCCTTCCTGCTGTAGCTCTTAAGAAAGACGTTTCACAAAGTTCAAAGCTCAACTATGGACACTGAAGTTGGCAAAAATTTGCCGGCAAGAGTCCTCTACCTTAAAAAAAGAAGTAAACAAGGAAACATTTTATGTTTCTTGCGGCTATAATGTTGACAAATCCACCCATCGATAGAAGCGTACAAGTTTTGGTTCGGCATGGTTGAAATTTGGTACGGACAGGTTGTTTACACTGCAAATTTTATCCGAGCCGAACCGTCTTTTTGGGACCCGTGCCATTTTCCCCCCCAGCCGTGCCAAAAATTTTCTGTAATGTAAACCGGGCTTTAGTGTTATATGCTATAACTGATGTAAAGATAACTGGTCTTAAATCATATATTTGAAAATCATATACAGAATCAATTCAAACTTTTACAAGCTAAGCTTCCATGTTAATCAACGGAGCCTTCTCCAATGGCGAAGGGACTCTCTATCGTATTATTTTTTTAAAGTAGATGCTGTAGATGCCTATAGCTTTGTATCATATTCACTACTTTAACATTGCTCATACACCGAATGCTTGTTTACCTCTCAAAATTTTGCAAAAGCATTGTAGTCTATTTTTCTTGAGACGACTGGAAAAAGGAAAAATCAGAAACTAATTACAAATTTTGGGGATAAAAAGGCGTATTATGGGCAATGTGTAAATGGTGAATCAACAGGATAAAAAGCATTTTGATTAAATCTAATTTATATGCAAGAGTATTGAAATCTATTCGACGGCTGTGTAAACTATTCAGAATGTTTAGTAGCATAGATACCAAAATTGTTTTCCATTTTCTAAGTGTTGACTCGTTCATGCCCACTATTCAAATCCCATGTATTGAAGAGATCAATAAACACTTTATTCTGGATTAACATGTAAAATGAAAATAATTTTAAAATCACATAAACTAAATAATACTAACGGTTTTTTATATTCGAACGAAATCAGTATTTTCCTGCCAATTTAAACGAATTCTTAACATAGACCTCCTGTAGACCACTGTTTCAGATAATCATTGGATCACCAGCTCACATTTTTAGTAGATCAATTAATAAATGTTTTTCTTTTCTGTCTTTTTGCCTATCAAACGTTGGAGTAGCAGACATTGGATTTGGCTGAACTATTAAACTCCCTCTACGTTGTTTGCATTAATTAGTTAAACTGTAAAACGCACAAATGCAAATCAGCCTAATAATTACTTAATAACTGGGAATTCATCAAGATCTGTGTTCCTTCGGGTGTTGGAAACTTCTTCAGGATGCAATTCAATGCAAATTTATCTTTCGCGGAGGTACTAACCTGAGATCAGGCTCTATTTTCGTTTCGCTTTGAAAATTACATTCCGGAGGGCAAGACGAAACGAAAAGAGAGCCTGATACAAACCTTTAACGAAATGTCTGCCGCCCACTTTTTTGATTGATTGACATTTGCCGAATCCGCCAATTAGAATTACCTGCGTTGCTTGTTTTTCTAGTATGCGAATTTTTCACGCGTGGGAAAAATGTAGACTGGCTGACTTAAAAAATAGCTTTTATCTGTTAATTTTTTCAGCTAAAAATAAAACAGTCAGCACAATCACATTGAACTTCTTGCGAGATTAAGGGAGATCTCGAAGGTTACTTCTGTTGGCGTAGAAGGTAAAAAGTTTTCGAAAAGACGGCGACACGATGTTCTACTAGTTATTTTGGCTAAGCGCTCTGGAATTTAAAATACTGAAATCTCTATTTTTCCGTTGTCTTGATATTTTCCTCGGTAATTTCCCCCTATTTTCAGTACATAAATCTTTAAAAACAAAAGCAAACAGCCAACGAGCGAGGACACCAGTTTTCTTGGTTTATTTTTAACAAAAAGCGTAGTCAAACAACCAGTAGCTACCAGTCTGTGAACACTGAAAATTCCTTGAACAGCGATGCGATATTTTTCCTCTAATACTTCACAGTTGGCGATTGAGGTTTCTTTCGCAGTGAGCCTCCGTTTGCGTACCCCGTTCATATAACTCATTCCCGGCTAAACTTTTAAATGAAACCAGTTTTAAGATGGACAGTATTTCGATTTGCACACGTTTGTTGGTAAATCAAAATGCACCTTGTTAGCGATCAACAACTTGCAGAGGGTTTCAACTCCGCGATACACTCACTTTCCGTAAATAAAGCAAATCCTGAGAAGATATGAACAACCACATGAATTTTCTGAATTTCCATGGCACATATTAAGGCATATTTTCCTACCATAAGACCATGAAACAACAAAAACGACGGCAAAAACGATCCTTCTCTCCGCCGACGGCGGATCATTCACGAAAACAACCACGCGAGGAATAAGAGCTTTCAACTTCCGGCGTTTCAGACAGCCAATCAGATCTTGTGGCATTGTTCTAACAGCCAATCAGCGTTACGGCCAAAATCTGGCCATAACGAGCACAAACTTGTAATAGTTTGTATCAGGCCCAATTTCAGCGGTAGCCGTTAGAGAGAATGTATGAGAACCGCTCAAATTGGGCCTGATCTCAGGATACGGAGGTACACCAGAACAGACCACATTTTGTGGAGAGACTTCATCTGTACAATATATTTCTTTGTGTCCGCAGACATTTTTATCATTGATATTTCGAAAACATGGAATGGAAATTTCGCGTCTTATTTTTCTTGGTCATCTTCGTAATATTTGGAGTACTGATAATGCTATCGTCGTCAGAAATCAAGAAAGGTAAGAGTGCAATAAATTTAAAAAATAATGGCGTTATTCATGGTTTTTGTTACCTCGACTATGACTAAAACTGAATCGGGATTTAACATTAAGATGATCGCATTTTTTTGCTTTACCGTATTTGCTGCAAGACCTTTTAAACTGAATAGTTCTATAAACAGTTACCCTTATTAAGGATAGTAAGGATTTATTTCTGCCATCATTCAGATAAAATTTAAATTCATCATTTTAAAAATATAATATTCAAAAAGTCTCGTCCAAAGAAGTGGTCTAATTAACAACCTGCTGGAAATTAAAAGACGTCTCAAAGAATCTTGCTGTTTGCAGTATTCTATTCTCTCAGCATGATATCAAGTCACAATTTTCAAAAGCTCTTTCTTTCAATCGACAGACGAGATCACGTGACTTCATGAGGCACGTAAAATTATTCCGTTTTGTGGCGGTCGCTCTGAGTGAGGAAATTCTGTTAAACATGTTTATGCCAGAGTAAACAAGCAACAATTTGACTTCAGCGAAGTTTAAGAGCCAATCTTGGACTTATTCTGCCTTCAAGATTTCCAAAAAAATCTCTTGTACACGCAGACTTAAACAAATTTCCGATCTAGTGTTCCTAAGGGTTGACTGGCGCTGGTAATTAGTTATCAGTGAGTTATGACATGCATGTCACCCTGTGCTTACAAGTCATACATTTATTTTGTTCTGTTTCAAAACAAAGCCGACAACCATCATGCTATAATTTTCTTCCCCTTTAATCTTCCACATCACTCACGTATTACTTCGTTCTTGTTGACACGAGAACATAACGTTCCTTTAAAACTGTTCTTCTTTGCTCCTTTCTTTAAGTGTGGCCAAGGCTTCACACACATTACACTCTTTTTTTTTTATAAGAATATTGTTTTTCCGTCCCAGGCTGAATATTCTTATTTTTCTGCCGATTTTAGGCTGAAAATATTCTTGTATTATTCTTAAATTATAGCTTATGACATTTCCGTTTTAGAATTTATTGGGGTATATGTATATATATTATATGTACCGTTCATCGAACTGTCATTAGCGTTGAACATTTTGCTATAGCTAGTGCGGGTTTTTTCGTTTTGTTGGCTAGTTTCGCCGTTCAGAGAAAGGAATAATTTTATACGGTTAAGTTAAAAACATAAAATTGTATTGTATTTACAGATGTTTCAACACACAAAATTATAGCTATCCTTTTCAAAATCTCAGCCTTGGTTTTATTCTTAAAATATTCTTAATATTTCGCAAATTTCAGCCTCGATATTCTTATAAAATATATTCTTATAAAAAAAAAAGAGTGTACAGGATTTTGAGTTTCTAAGCCTCGGCAAAAATTATGGATGAAAAGTGTCCGTTCATTCCGGAGGGTTTAGAATGCCGAGCACGGAAAGAAAAAAGCTTTTATCCTAGAATTTTGTGGCTTTTTTGTCGCCTTGGAATTGCCATGTTTTGGCTAGAATGCCAGTTCTGACGGTTGAAATGACCTGCGGCTTGATTTGATACGTCTTGCCATTTATCATTTCTCGGCGTTTCGCCTAAGTGAATCTTTTTACTTAGGCTATGTTCACGCTTTACCGGATAGCTTTGCGCTGCCACGAAAATCATAACGGATGGGGCTTCTGTTCGCACACAAACACGGCGATTGCGGCGCGACTGCTGTGACGACGATCGGATAGGTTTTCAGTGTGCAATACTTTAGTGCAGTGTGAACCAAGAGAGACAGACATTCTCTCTTGGTGTGAACACAATAAGTAGGAGTAAGTAGGAACGAGGACTGAATATTCAGGAGTGAGGACTGTACCAACCCTCTAGGAACGACTTGTCGATCCCCCTCCAGGCTGTTGCTGTTCGTACTGCACCCGACGTCATGCAGCTTTTCGTGGCGCAACGAAAAGCTATCCGCTATCCGATATAGTCTATTTATTTATTTACCAGCTTTTCTGGACATAGGCCTGCCCAGAGGGAATACGCACGAACGGGACTCGGGTCTCATACGAGGTGCCATCCCTACCCAATCCCACAACCCGCAAAGGTTGACCACACCACCGGGGTCTACGACCGCTACTCTTTTCCAATAGTGATGGGGGTTCTTCTACGTCCCACAAGAACAAATCAGTGAAAGTGCTGTGAGACGGGACCTACGGTTTTACGTCCTTATCCGAGAAGACTAGAAAGTCTAACCATTTGCAGATGTCATTACAAAGGCAGCACTTTCCTCTCAGTTAATTAAAGACCCTGAGTCTTGGTCCGACCGGGGTTTGAACCGCCGAGACCGGCGCTCTCCCAACTGAGCTAACCAGGCGGCGGTCAAGACGATCTGAACATAACCTTATATTAGTTTTCCTAGTATCGCCCAGGCCTGAGTAAGGCCATTGTCTGTTGAAACGCAGTGATATAAATTTTTCTCTCTTTTCAGTTTCAGAAGCGCGGATTGCAATCCAGACTGATGTGTCTGTAAGTAATAGAACATAGTGTAACTATTAATTAAATTGAGTAAAAATCAAAATGCAGCCCTTAATCGGCCTAGTCAATTAGATACCTCAGCACTTAAATGGACGACCATGTGATAAGAATTTTGTAATGACATATATTCATTGAATATGCGTCTTAGGCAGGTTTGGATGTAGCTATCAAGAAAGACTGAAAACCCAACTGTTTTCTTATTTTCACAGACAGTGACGGCCATATCAGCACAAGAACTTTTGCTGACTAAACTAGCTGAAAGACAAGAAATGAGGATACAACAACTGAAAAATTACTGCTTGGAACATTCAAACGAAAAGTTACCGTGGGACAGAAAAGGGCAACTCGACCAATTTCTTGTCGACGATGACAATAAATTTATTTACTGTGCCGTTCCCAAGGTGGGAACCACACCCATGAGGATGACGCTACTGCGTTTGAGGAACGACAGCAGAATAAAACTTACGGAAGGTTCAGTTCATCTTCCTAAATACTGGAGGCGTTTAAGTGATCAAGAATTCAACGAAACAGAGTTATCCAAACGTCAAAATACACATTTCAACTTTCTGTTTGTTCGAGAGCCGTTTCACCGACTTCTGTCCGGCTACAAAGATAAATTCTTTGGAAAAAACAGAGTTTATACCAACGGGTATCGTCAACTGATAGTGAGAGCTTTGAGGCCAAAGGACGAGGAGAAGGTTGCAACAGAGACGAATAACGTTACATTCACCGAGTTTCTAACGTATCTCTTATCTGATAGAAACCCGATGATTCGCGATGGTCACTGGAAGCAAGCACAAAAACTTTGCTTTCCTTGCGCTTTTGACTTCGACTTTATTGGCCATTTTGAGACGCTTCAAGAGGACGCAGATTATTTGCTGAGCAAAACGGGTTTTAATGACCGTGTTAAATTCCCAGTCGTACGTACGTCACAGGTTTCTAGTGATTTTTTAGAGTATTACTCAGAAGTTCCAAAGGAAATAATATTCAAACTGGGAGAAGCTTTCAGGAGTGACTTTGAAATGTTCGGCTATGCATTCCCTGGACCTCTAAAAAGTTTACTTAAAAACTATTTTAATAATAGTACCCAAAGTTAAAATCTTTGATTTTTTGACGAAAGAAAGTTAAATTATTAGGATTTATAGCTAGAACATTGTTTATTAGAAGAATATTTAATATTAAACAAATTATTGCGGGCAAGAAAACTGAGAGCCGCAGAATAAAACTTGGACGCAATGGCCATTGGCACTTTTTCTTGAACTATGTATGGCCGATTTGAAGCAAATGTGGGCACATAATTGCCATTCCTTTGTTCTTACAACTGGTCTGAATGGTAGGTGGGTGAAGGCCCTGGTGTTGAGTTCAAGGTCCGTTCGGGCGTTTGAGGTGCCCGCGGAGGATGTGCACAGAACAGGAGCCCATAAACCGGAACGTGCAACTCCCGTTGTTTTCCTTCCAACGGCGTTTTCACAAATCAACTTATTTTTAGCTCCATTTTTCAGCACCTTTTCCCACGAAAATGGAAGCACGTTTCCGTATGCGTGCGTATCCGTGGGTATGATAGTTACAAAAAGAAGTAAATGCTATCAAAATATCAAAAATACTTTTTTAGTCTCCGGCTTTTGATGACTAGTAGTAGTAAACCTTTATTTAACTAGGGTAATCCCTTCAGAATACTTAAAAGTATATCTCTGTTATCAATAGGAACCCTAAATTAAGACTAATAAAAAAAGTTCAAAATAAATAATAAGAAACTGATTTGTAAGACTTATTTTAAATTCAAGCTTTGCGGGAAATCGAACTAAAAATAAACTGGTCTGTGAAAACACCGTTGCACAGGCAGAAGGGAGGTGCTCGCTCCGGGTTATGAGCTCCTGACAGAAGTTTGCTGTTTGTGCTCACGTGGTTTTTAAATTTTTTGAAGCACATCGTACATGCACCGTGTATGCACGTACACAAATGCGAAACGTGCTTTAGTCAAGATACATATGATTACGAAGCTTAAAATCCAGATATAGTGTAACGGTTCCTCTTCATCTCCCCTATAATTTGTAAAGAGTGGTGTCATTTCAAAGCATGTTTATATGCTGCAACATGTATGCGGCGAGTACCGTGAGAGTAATGGATAGCTTATCATCTTCATCTTCCATTAGCTTAAAAATATACTTGCATTTCATGATTCAGCATTTTAACTCAACCCACGTTAGTCACTGTCACCGAAAAGTCGACAATGCTTGGTTGCATCAAGTAAGAAGTCGACCCATTTTCGTCGCACCAAGAGAGAATAAGCTCATTCTCTCTGATCTTGGTCGCACACAAGACCCTTTACAGTCCACTGTCGCACAACAGCGACACGCCACAATGATACAAACCAAATCATTCTTATTGGAGAAAACTCGTTCTGAGTGGAAGGATCACTCACCTACTCGAGTTATCCTGGGCGCGCCAACTTTTCCTTCACTTCCTTACAAAACTTGGCGAAATATTTACTTGAGAACAAAATGTTGGCTCGGCTAGAAGGGGTCACTGCCTTGCTCAGTCGGGTCAACTCGGTGAAGTTGGGGGAAACTATTAGATCATGCGTGAACATTGTTGTCAGGTAGTCCTGAGCACGGCCAAAAGGGTCATGACAATTTTCTTCCCACATAAACGCTCGCAAAAGTTGCCTCGGCTGGGAATAAGGTGAACGTGATTGTTAATCTCTCTAAATACGCAACGAAATCAACGCCCGAGTCCCACAAATCTGAAGATACGTTTCATTCCCCTGTCGTACTTAGTCCGATATCCGGAATAGAAAAGAGAGAGACAGTGGCAAGTTGTCTCTCCCCAGTCCCCGCGCGTTTTTTGCATTTCTTATTACTGAACGACTTTCCACCACCATCTCGGAGGGTGGAACAGGCTACAAGGGGACGGTTTCTCGATCCTCGCGAAACGTCCCCCAGCGGCGATGAGCGAGCAGAAACGTCTGTTTTCACAGGCTAGTTGAACTCGGAACCTACTACAGCGTTCGCCCCAACACGTTACAACGGGATTGCTGTAAGCCGGTTGGCGCAATAAACTCTTATGTCTTGTGGAATCTGTGAGTCATTTTAAGCCCGGTTTACACTACAGAAAATTTTTGGCACGGCTCGGGTGAAATTGGCACGGGTGCCAAAAAAGAGCTCGGCAAACTTTGTTTACACTACACCTGACCATTTTCACCGCAACAAAAATACCGTGCCAAAATTTTTTGGCCCGCGTAAGTTCTCTTGGAGACATGCGCAGTTCAATTAGAAGCAAAGATGGACGACGAAGCCTTCCTGCTGTAGCTCTTAAGAAAGACGTTTCACAAAGTTCAAAGCTCAACTATGGACACTGAAGTTGGCAAAAATTTGCCGGCAAGAGTCCTCTACCTTAAAAAAAAAGTAAACAAGGAAACATTTTATGTTTCTTGCGGCTATAATGTTGACAATCCACCCATCGATAGAAGCGTACAAGTTTTGGTTCGGCATGGTTGAAATTTGGTACGGACAGGTTGCTTATACTGCAAATTTTATCCGAGCCGAACCGTCTTTTTAGGACCCGTGCCATTTTCACCCGAGCCGTGCCAGAAATTTTCTGTAGTGTAAACCGGGCTTTAGTGTTATTTGCTATAACTGATGTAAAGATAACTGGTCTTAAATCATATATTTGAAAATCATATACAGAATCAATTCAAACTTTTACAAGCTAAGCTTCCATGTTACGGCAACGGAGCCTTCTCCTATGGCGAAGGGAGTCTCCGTCGTATCATTTTTTTAAAGTAGATGCTGTAGATGCCTACAGCTTTGTATCATATTCACTACTTTAACATTGCTCATACACCGAATGCTTGTTTACCTCTCAAAATTTTGCAAAAGCATTGTAGTCTATTTTTCTTGAGACGACTGGAAAAAGGAAAAATCAGAAACTAATTACAAATTTTGGGGATAAAAAGGCGTATTATGGGCAATGTGTATTTAAAGGTGAATCAACAGGATAAAAAGCATTTTGATTAAATCTAATTTATATGCAAGAGTACTGAAATCTATTCGACGGCTGTGTAAACTATTCAGAATGTTTAGTAGCATAGATACCAAAATTGTTTTCCATTTTCTAAGTGTTGACTCGTTCATGCCCACTATTCAAATCACATGTATTGAAGAGATCAATAAACACTTTATTCTGGATTAACATCTAAAATGAAAATAATCTTAAAATCACATAAACCAAATAATACTAACGCTTTATTATATTCGAACGAAATCAGTATTTTCCTGCCAATTTAAACGAATTCTTAACATAGACCTCCTGTAGACCACTGTTTCAGATAATCATTGGATCACCAGCTCAGATTTTTAGTAGATCAATTAATAAATGTTTTTCTTTTCTGTCTTTTTGCCTATCAAACGTTGGAGTAGCAGACATTGGATTTGGCTGAACTATTAAACTCCCTCTACGTTGTTTGCATTAATTAGTTAAACTGTAAAACACACAAATGCAAATCAGCCTAATAATTACTTAATAACTGGGAATTCATCAAGATCTGTGTTCCTTCGGGTGTTGGAAACTTCTTCAGGATGCAATTCAATGCAAATTTATATTTCGCGGAGGTACTAACCTGAGATCAGGCTCTATTTTCGTTTCGCTTTGAAAATTACATTCCGGAGGGCAAGACGAAACGAAAAGAGAGCCTGATACAAACCTTTAACGAAATGTCTGCCGCCCACTTTTTTGATTGATTGACATTTGCCGAATCCGCCAATTAGAATTACCTGCGTTACTTGTTTTTCTAGTATGCAAATTTTTCACGCGTGGGAAAAGTGTAGACTGGCTGACTTAAAAAATAGCTTTTATCTGTTAATCAAAATGCACCTTGTTAGCGATCAACAACTTGCAGAGGGTTTCAACTCCGCGATACACTCACTTTCCGTAAATAAAGCAAATCCTGAGAAGATATGAACAACCACATGAATTTTCTGAATTTCCATGGCACATATTAAGGCATATTTTCCTACCATAAGACCATAAAACAACAAAAACGACAGCAAAAACGATCCTTCTCTCCGCCGACGGCGGATCATTCACGAAAACAACCACGCGAGGAATAAGAGCTTTCAACTTCCGGCGTTTCAGACAGCCAATCAGATCTTGTGGCATTGTTCTAACAGCCAATCAGCGTTACGGCCAAAATCTGGCCGTAACGAGCACAAACTTGTAATAGTTTGTATCAGGCCCAATTTCAGCGGTAGCCGTTAGAGAGAATGTATGAGAACCGCTCAAATTGGGCCTGATCTCAGGTTACGGAGGTACACCAGAACAGACCACATTTTGTGGAGAGACTTCATCTGTACAATATATTTCTTTGTGTCCGCACAGATTTTTATCATTGCTATTTCGAAAACATGGAATGGAAATTTCGCGTCTTATTTTTCTTGGTTATCTTCGTAATATTTGGAGTACTGATAATGCTATCGTCGTCAGAAATCAAGAAAGGTAAGAGTGCAATAAATTTAAAAAATAATGGCGTTATTCATGGTTTTTGTTACCTCGACTATGACTAAAACTGAATCGGGATTTAACATAAGGATGATCGCATTTTTTTGCTTTACCGTATTTGCTGCAACACCTTTTAAACTGAATAGTTCTATAAACAGTTACCCTTATTAAGGATAGTAAGGATTTATTTCTGCCATCATTCAGATAAAATTTGAATTCATCATTTTAAAAATATAATATTCAAAAAGTCTCGTCCAAAGAAGTGGTAAAATTAACAACCTGCTGGAAATTAAAAGACGTCTCAATGAATCTTGCTGTTTGCAGTATTCTATTCTCTCAGCATGATTTCAAGTCACAATTTTCAAAAGCTCTTTCTTTCAATCGACAGACGAGATCACGTGACTTCATCAGGCACGTAAAATTATTCCGTTTTGTGGCGGTCGCTCTGAGTGAGGAAATTCTGTTAAACATGTTTATGCCAGAGTAAACAAGCAACAATTTGACTTCAGCGAAGTTTAAGAGCCAATCTTGGACTTATTCTGCCTTCAAGATTTCCAAAAAAATCTCTTGTACACGCAGACTTAAACAAATTTCCGATCTAGTGTTCCTAAGGGTTGACTGGCGCTGGTAATTAGTTATCAGTGAGTTATGACATGCATGTCACCCTGTGCTTACAAGTCATACATTTATTTTGTTCTGTTTCAAAACAAAGCCGACAACCATCATGCTATAATTTTCTTCCCCTTTAATCTTCCACATCACTCACGTATTACTTCGTTCTTGTTGACACGAGAACATAACGTTCCTTTAAAACTGTTCTTCTTTGCTCCTTTAAGTGTGGGCAAGGCTTCACACACATTGCAGGATTTTACGTTTCACAACCTCGGCAAAAATTATGGATGAAAAGCGTTCATTCATTCAGGCGGGTTTAGAATGCCGAGCACGGAAAGAAAAAAGCTTTCATCCTAGAATTTTGTGGCTTTTTTGTCGCCTTGGAATTGCCATGTTTTGGCTAGAATGCCAGTTCTGACGGTTGAAATGACCTGCGGCTTGATTTGATAGGTCTTGCCATTCATCATTTCTCGTTGTTTCGCCTATGTGAATCTTTTTACCGAGGCTAATTGTTCACGCTTCACGGGATAGCTTTTGCGCTGCCACGAAAATCATAAAGGATAGGGCTTCTGTTCGTACACAAAAACGGCGATTGCGGCGCGACTGCTGTGACGAAGATCGGATAGGTTTTCAGTGTGCAATACTTTAGTGCAGTGTGAACCAAGAGAGACAGACATTCTCTCTTGGTGTGAACACAATAAGTAGGAGTAAGTAGGAACGAGGACTGAATATTCAGGAGTGAGGACTGTACCAACCCTCTAGGAACGACTTGTCGATCCCCCTCCAGGCTGTTGCTGTTCGTACTGCACCCGACGTCATGCAGCTTTTCGTGGCGCAACGAAAAGCTATCAGCTATCCGATATAGTCTATTTATTTACTTACCAGCTTTTCTGGACATAGGCCTGCCCAGAGGGAATACGCACGAACGGGACTCGGGTCCCATACGAGGTGCCATCTCTACCCAATCCCACAACCCGCAAAGGTTGACCACACCACCGCGGTTACGGCCCCTACTCTTTTCGAATAGTGATGGGGGTTCTTTTACGTCCCACAAGAACAAATCAGTGAAAGTGCTGTGAGACGGGACTTAAGGTTTTCCGTCCTTATCCGAGAAGACTAGAAAGTCTAACCATTTGCAGATGTCATTACAAAGGCAGCACTTTTCTCTCAGTTAATTAAAGACCCTGAGTCTTGGTCCGACCGGGATTTGAACCGCCGAGACCGGCGCTCTCCCAACTGAGCTAACCAGGCGGCGGTCAAGACGATCTGAACATAACCTTATATTAGTTTTCCTATTATCACCTAGGCCTGAGTAAGGCCATTGTCCGTTGAAACGCAGCGATATAAATTTTTCTCTCTTTTCAGTTTCAGAAGCGCGGATTGCAATCCAGACTGATGTGTCGGTAAGTAATAGAACATAGTGTAACTATTAATTAAATTGAGTAAAAACCAAAATGCAGCCCTTAATCGGCCTCGTCAAATTAGATACCTCAGCACTTAAATGGACGACCATGTGATAAGAATTTTGTAATGACATTTAATATTCATTGAATATTCGTCTTAGGCAGGTTTGGGTGTAGCTATCAAGAAAGACTGAAAACCCAATTGTTTTCTTATTTTCACAGACAGTGACGGCCATATCAGCACAAGAACTTTTGCTGACTAAACTAGCTGAAAGGCAAGAAATGAGGATACAACAACTGAAAAATTACTGCTTGGAACATTCAAACGAAAAGTTACCGTGGGACAGAAAACGGCAACTCGACCAATTTCTTGTCGACGATGACAATAAATTTATTTACTGTGCCGTTCCCAAGGTGGGAACCACACCCATGAGGATGACGCTACTACGTTTGAGGAACGACAGCAGAATAAAACTTACGGGAGGTTCAGTTCATCTTCCTAAATACTGGAGGCGTTTAAGTGATCAAGAATTCAACGAAACAGAGTTATCCAAACGTCAAAATACACATTTCAACTTTCTGTTTGTTCGAGAGCCGTTTCACCGACTTCTGTCCGGCTACAAAGATAAATTCTTTGGAAAAAACAGAGTTTATACCAACGGGTATCGTCAACTGATAGTGAGAGCTTTGAGGCCAAAGGACGAGGAGAAGGTTGCAACAGAGACGAATAACGTTACATTCACCGAGTTTCTAACGTATCTCTTATCTGATAGAAACCCGATGATTCGCGATGGTCACTGGAAGCAAGCACAAAAACTTTGCTTTCCTTGCGTTTTTGACTTCGACTTTATTGGCCATTTTGAGACGCTTCAAGAGGACGCAGATTATTTGCTGAGCAAAACGGGTTTTAATGACCGTGTTAAATTCCCAGTCGTACGTGCGTCACAGGTTTCTAGTGATTTTTTAGAGTATTACTCAGAAGTTCCAAAGGAAATAATATTCAAACTGGGAGAAGCTTTCAGGAGTGACTTTGAAATGTTCGGCTATGCATTCCCTGGACCTCTAAAAAGTTTACTTGAAAACTATTTTAATAATAGTACCCAAAGTTAACATCCTTGATTTAGACAAAAAAAAATTTAATTATTAGGATTTGTAGCTAGAACGTTGTTTATTAGCAGAATATTAAACAAATTATTGCCGGCGAAAAAAAAGAAAGCCGCAGAATAAAACGTGGAGGCAATGGCCATTGGCACTTTCTTGAACTATATATGGCCGATTTGAAGAAAATGTGGGCACATTATTGCCATTCCTTTGTTCTTACAACTGGTCTGAATGGTAGGTGGGCGAAGGCCCTGGTGTTGAGTTCAAGGTCCGTTCGGGCGTTTGAGGTGTCAGCGGAGGACATTCAGAGAACAGGAGCCCATAAACCGGAACGTGCAACTCCCATTCTTTTCCTACGCAACGGCGTTTTCACAAATCAACTTTTTTTTTTAGCTCCATTTTTCAGCACTTTTCCCCGCGAAAATTGAAGCACCTTTCCGTATGCGTGCGTATCCGTAGGTACGTTAAAAGAAGTAAATGCTATCAAAACATCAAAAATACTGTTTCTAGTCGCCGGCTTTTGATGACTGATTTGTAAGACTTATTTTAAATTCAAGCTTTGCGAGAAAATTGAACTAAAAATGAACTGGTCTGTGAAAACGCCGTTGCACCGGCACAAGGGAGGTGCTCGCTCCGGGTTATGAGCTCCTTACCGAAGCTTGCTGTTTGTGCTCACGTGATTTTTAAATTTTTTGATGCACTTCGTACATGCACCGTTTATGCACGTACACAAATGCGAGACGTGCTTTAGTCAAAATACATATGATTACGAAGCTTAAAATCCAGATATAGTTTAAGGCTTGCTCTTCATCTCCCCTATAATTTGTAACAGTGGTGTCATTTCAAAGCATGTTTATATGTTGCAACATGTATGCGGAGAGTACCGTGAGAGTAGTGCATAGCTTATCATCTTCATCTTCCATTTGATTAGCCTAAAAATATACTTGCATTTCATGATTGAGCATTTTAACTCAACCCACGTTAGTCACTGTCACCGAAAAGTCGACAATATTTGGTTGCATCAAGCAAGAAGTCGACCCATTTTCATCGCACCAAGAGAGAATGAGCTCATTCTCTCTTGGTCGCACACAAGACCCTTTACAGTCCACTGTCGTACAACTGCGACACGCCACAATGATACAAACCAAATCAGTCTTATTGGAGAAAACTCGTTCTGGGTGGAAGTATCACTCACCTACTCGAGTTATCCTGGGCTCGCCAACTTTTCCTTCACTTCCTTACAAAATTTGGCGAAACGTTTACTTGAGAACAAAATGTTGGCTCGGTGAAGCTGGGGGATAGTATTAGATCATGCGTGAACATTGTTGTCAGGTAGACCTGAGCTCGGGCAAAAGGGTCATGACAATCTTCTTCCCACATAAACGCTCGTAAAAGTTGACTCGGCTGGGAAGGAGGTGAACGTGATTCTTAATCTCTCTAAATACGCAACGAAAGCAACGAGTCCCACAAACGCAAATCTGAAGATACGTTTCATTCCCCCGTCGTACTTAGTCAATATCAGGAATAGAAAAGAGAGAGACAGTGGCGAAGTTTTATGAGAAGAGACCTGTGATAAAGACTGGTCCGAGCGGAAAGGCATACGCAGACGACAACAACAGCACCGTTACTGAGTCGGTGAACGTAAGGAATGCAGTGCCGCCGAGAAGTCAGACTTTTCTGCAAATTCACCTTTCAGTGAAGAATGACACAGGAGTTGAGTGCAAATCGTTACAAAGCGTTTGTTGCGAAGAACAATAAACTGGGAGCCAGCAGCTATGCAGATGACGGAGAGAGCAGGAGTCAAGGGCCTAGGCCTGCGATGACTGACAGGAGCAGAAGCAAGACAAGTTAAGGTGACTGAATCAGAAGATGGCTGCAAAGACCTACAGGCCCAACAGCAGCAGAAGAGTGCTTTTAGGTGGACGATGCAAGTTTGGGAACCTTCACGATTTTGAGGACTTTGCGGTAACTAAGAACTTTATAGCTTTTGGTCGTCAGTTTTGAGGACTTTGCTTATAAAGGTCACTAAGTGATTAAATCTGCGTTTCCGGCCAAGCGTACCTCTCGAAAGACGCAAAGGACTTCTGACGGACTTCATAATCTCAACATTCAGCTAATGTTATATACAAGGGGCAAGGACACTAGAGGATAGTTCTGTTTTAGGCCAATTCTGTGCAGAAGTCATTTCTTCAGTAGTGCCTAGTATACACAAAATGCTCACGTACAGTTATGCCGAAAGAAGTTATCAAACAAAGTTCTTCAGAGAGCACCAGCCACAATATGCTTTTGGTGATTTTTGCAAGCATAACATTTTAAAAACTACTTGAAAAAGTTTATCCAACTATTCTAAAGTTTCAACCCACTTCCATCCTTGTCATCCGTAGGAACATATGACAGGAAACAGTTCACATGCCTAAATATAGTCTTAAATAACAAAACTGTAATATTATTTTTGGAATTCAGTTGAGGCGTAGAAACGTTTTAGCTTAAAAAGATAGAAAATAGTGTGACAGTGCCCCTTTAAGATTGTGTTAACCTTTCTTTTTAAAAATGGAGGGAATACAGCAGTCGCATTATTATTCTTTATGCATATTCGTTATGCCTGTTATGCTTCGTTATGCAAGACCTTTAACATAAATAATCTATGCTTAAGTGTTACTCATCTATTTAGCTAAATGTACATATTTAAACAGTTTTAAATAGCAATTAAAGCGTTGTTGTTGGTTGTCATCCGGTAAGAATCAGCATTTCAAGAGACTTAACAATGTTTATTTGGATTTATTCAGGATACTTTTCGTGGTGGTATCCCATTAGAACTTAAACAAAACTATCACCATGGAGAGACTTCAACCGTGCGGCAAATATATTCTTTGCAAATAATATTCTTTGTATCCACGAAGACATTTAACATTATTCATTTCGGATTTAAAGATGGCGTGTCAGTGGAAGCCTCGCATGTCATTTACCTTGATTAACTTAGCATTTTTTGGCATTTTGATCACGCTAACTTTGGTGGAAATAAAGAACGGTAAGTGAACTAACTAAATAAATACTAATGATACCATAAATTCAACAGAAACGAAACTGCCTTGCCTGTGATCTCAGTGAAATCGAATGGAAACTGAATCGATAAACTAATCTGTTATTTATTTCAGCCATTTCATGTTACAAGACACGTATCACAACAACTCAACAACAACAACTTTAATAATACGATATACGATATCAAGGAGCTTTTAGAACCAAAAAAGATGACAGAGTGAGATATTGAATGCTTGTAAGTTGTTTCTATCCTTTAAGTGTGTATAAAATTTATTCAAGCGTATTGCTTTGGCATCCATGCCAGAAATAAACGTTACCTGACTATTTACAGACTCCCGTTACCCTGTTTTGTAGAATATGCTCAAACTGATGCGTCAGATATAATGAAAATACTAGAAAAATTAGACGCGTTTTAGGCCCGAGTGGAGCGCTGTACCGGTTCACATGATCAAAACTTAATTCACAGTTTGGTTTGACCTAAAATTATTCAGTCGGCTTTTGAGTCAAAACGTTGAACTTAATGCAGCCGAACGTAAGAAAAGAAATGTAGAACCCGTCTTTTTGCTTCAGGTTTTTGCTTAGTGCTTGCTAGCGACGGAAGCCGAGAGAGCGGAAACCGTGAAATGGAGATGGAAAAAGCCATCCCTTGTACTTACTATTAATGAAGGAGGCGGACACGAAAGCATATGGCAGATACGGAGACAGAAACAAATTAAAATTTTCCTTCCTTCCCTTCCCTTTATCCTTCTCCGTATTTCGTTTCATTTTCAGCCGTATATCTAACCAACCGAGTAGGTCTACATCCCAGTTAAAACCAAAAGCCACAACGGGGACAGAGAGCTTCAGCCAAGGCTCTATCCCAATCCTTCAAGCCCTGACGCTTGGAATACCCATTGTTGAAAGTTCTTTTCTAGGGGGAATTAGCGGGTTTTTAGTCTTCGACAAAAGGATGATGCTTGCTACGTTTTTTTTACTTTCTTTTTTTGCCTGTCTATACAAGTCTGTTATTCTTTAAAAACTTCGCCAGCTAAAATTCTCTCTCCGATCAAAACTGTAACGCCTCCCCCTTTTTATGATGACCAGAAAACCCATATAATACCTTAATACGTAAAACTTCTGTGATTGGCTAGGTGACATTCATTAGCATTGAGCCTTCGAGTGGTTTACCCTTTCAAAACACTGTTCTTTCTTAGACCCCATTTACACGGGTCAAGGCTGACAAAATTTTTGAACGGACAAACCTTGCACGGATACGCCTTTCGTTCACACGGAAACCGAGCAAACGTACATGGACAAGTTTTTGAACGGCAAACAGCATGCAGTACTGCAATTTGTAACAGAATTTGGATGGTTCAGTGCAAACGAATTGCAAAGGTAAAAAATTCGTCCGTTCAAAAATTTGGCAAGATGGCCGTGTACACAGTCAACTTTCGGCTTGCTGACACCTCGCCATAACGCACACCCCGATAATACCGACAGCGGCCAAATCCCGGGCAAAAATAAATTACAGAAGTTTGACTGAAATAAACTTCCGCTATTACGGACTCTCGCTAATGAGGACACTAACTCGAGGTCCCTACAGTGTCCACTATAAGGGAGTTGATTGTAATCGGGGTCTCAAACTTCACCTTTTAAGGCATATGTATTTTTACGATAAGAAGAGTTGCCGCGAAAGCTTACCAAAATAGAACATCTATTTAACACCGGATCCATCATGACAGGGGAAGATCGCGACTTGTGTCAATCGCAAAAACTTTAAGGGGTGCCTTGTAAAACTAAACAAAGAAGGCATGCATTTCGATCTAAAACATCCCATAGTTAACCAATCATATAGAAATTGCAGTAGGGCGAAAAAAATTTTGCTGAAACTTCCATTGCTTGCATTTTTATTGCTTAACAATACTGAAAATCGCAAGGCTCACAGTAGATATTTACCTCAGAAGTTGTGTAATTCATCTCAGAAAAATTCCCTTTTCACGTTAAATAAGGTCATGGACTAAGTGCCGGAATAAGACAAAAACACTCTCCTTTTTGTTCTGTTTCAGAAGGGACTGGAATCCAGACCAATGTGTCGGTAAGTATTACATACTACATAATGCAATATGAAATAGAAGTGCGTAATATTGTGTTAGTCACAAAATGCTAGAATGTCTCTGTTTCTCAGCATCAAATCCCGGATATATAAGAACCTAACGTCCATGACAATTTTCTCCAATTCTAATTGGCAATCGGCAGACCTGATTTTATCCCGAATAGGACAGTACGTGTTATGGGACACTGAGGCACGCTTGTGCAGGTGCTAATATCTCTGCTTAGCATAGTCCAGTCAAGAGAGAATTCATTCTCTCTTGTTACTGTGGAACGACCAATCACCTCTCATAAGCGACCACTTCCCATCAGCATCGACCACTTATCCAAAACACCAGCAAACTTTTCCCAGTCAAAACTTTACAGTTGGAACCTCTCGTAAACGGCCATTGCTGTACACGACGGCGCGGACCACTTTTCGGGGATGACGGTTTTATAATTCTCCATTGTTCTTAACCATTTGCAAGCAACCACTTGATGTAGCACCCTCCCCCCAACAAAGAAAAAATGGAGGGGGAGGGTGTGGGTACACGTAGGCTAACTATACGACTGAATAACTTGAACCATACATATCATAACTCAGAAACTGCGTGCAATAAATTATCTTCATAAAGTCAGATGAGTCAGAGCGTCTGCTCGGGTAGCTAGTCTTCATTTGGTGGTCGCTTATGGGAGGTCAGTACTGTCTGTTTTTAGTTTCAGTGCCGGAGTAATTGCCTCAAAGAAACGTTATTAGTATGTTACTACAGCTTATATCCTCACTAGATACCGAATAGACATTTAAGCTCATTTTTTAGTAAAGTTAAAAAGATGTTAATTCTCATTATATCGACATTATAAGCGAGTTTAAACTTATCCATTAATTTCTCTGTTGTCCAATCAGATTACAAGCACAGACCAAATAAAACGTTCTTACCTTTTTGCTGGGTTTGGCTGCAACGATTCAGGATGAAAACTCTTCATGATAATTTTTCTTTTTTACTTTTCAGACAATGACCGACAGATCAGAACAATATCGTGACATGGCTGGAACACAAGAAAGGAGAAAACAGCAGCTTAAAAATTACTGCTTAGTACATAATGATCAAAAGTTACCCTGGGAAAAAAAACGACAACTCGAGCAATTTCTTATCGACGATGACAATAAATTTATTTACTGTGCCGTTCCTAAGGTGGGAAGTACTCCAATGAGGATGACAATGTTACGTTTGAGAAATGACAGCAACTTAAAACTTACAGAAAGTTCAGTTCATTCTCCAACGTTTTGGAAACGTTTAAGTGATGACGAATTCAATACAAGAGAGTTATCGAAACGCTTATCTACACATTTCAAGTTTCTGTTGGTTCGCGATCCGTTTCACCGACTTCTATCCGGCTACAAAGATAAATTCTTTGGAAAAAATAGACGTTACTCCAACAGATTTCGTCAAATGATAGTGAAAGCTTTAAGGCCACAGGACGAGGAAAAGGTTGCAACAGCGACGAATAACGTTACGTTCACCGAGTTTCTAACGTATCTCTTATCTGATGGAAACCCGATGATTCGCGATGGTCACTGGAAGCAAGTAGAAAATCTTTGCTTTCCGTGCGCTTTTGACTTCGACTTTATTGGCCATTTTGAGACGCTTCAAGAGGACGCAGATTATTTGTTGAGTAAAGCGGGTTTTAATGACCGTGTTAAATTCCCAGTCGTACGGACATCACAGGTTTCTCGAGATTTCTTAATGTATTACTCAAAAGTTCCACCGGAAATTATACTTAAGCTGGGAGAGGCTTTCAGGAGTGACTTTGAAATGTTCGGCTATGCATTTCCTGGACCTCTTAAAAGTATAATTAAAGACTACTTGAGTGATAGAGCAGGCGATAGAGTCAATTAATTGATTAAAAATTAGAGAAAGGTAGGATTCTATTTTAACGCCAAGTTATTTACCGAGGTGTGCCGCCGCGGCCTTTAAACCCTGATCCTGTTTAAGACAATAATGTTTCACTTTGCTACGCTCTTTTAAGACACACCTATAGAATAAAGTTATTTTTCCAACAAACAAAAAAATGTTGGTACCACAATGTAGAGAATTCATAGCTAGCCAACCTTCACACTCTTTTAAAGTCCTCTAGTCCAAAAAGACACCCTTTTCAAAACACTAAATAGAGAAATTGCACAACCTGTCAGACTCAAGACCTTGAAACCATTCCCTGGTTAGCTGCACATACCCCCCCCCCCTCCCCCGTCTAGTCCACTGAATAAGGGAATGCCCCTCCGGGGGTTACCGCACGGCGACCAGAGTATTATAGTCACTGGGGAAGCACTCGACATGAACAAGTCAGCCGCAAACCACGACAGAAAAGAGCGAAACGTCGTTGTTTTGTAAATGCGTCAGCTGGGAAAAGGACTGGATCGATTTTAAGAGAAAGGACGGACTGCAAGCAAACAGTCGAAGTATTGGCAAAAACGCTGTTTATTAGTGATACTAAGGTGTAAGCCCTATGGACGGACTTCCATATAAAAGTGACAGGTGTGCTCTTCGTCTCGCCTAGGGGTGTAAATTGGAGGTTTTGGTCTCACTTGGAGTGTTTGGGACGGAAATGCACTATAATTGCCCATTTAGGTATTGTATTGGGCTAAAGAAATTTACCAAAAAAAACGTCGTCTGTTTTAGTATGGTCTCCTAAAACAGGGGGTCAGTTTAAGCTTGATCCACGCCCACAATGGTCTAGCTTAAGAGTTTAATTTCAATCTTCCGACGCGTATCCCCTTCACTTTTATATGGGAGTTCCCCCGGGACGCATTCCTGGTGATAAGTTTCGTTCCCAGGCTATACACAGGCAAGATCTGGACTGTCGACGTTTCATGAGAAGAAACCAGTCAAGTAAACAAATAATGAAAGGCATATTCCGAGCATATAATATGAAGCTGCGACAACGGTGGCCGAGGCTGTAGAGCTGAGAACAGAGAAGTCAAATTGGCTTAAGTAATTTCTGCCCCAGCCCTTTGAAAGTTGTCTCAAAGACAGCGGGAAGTGAGGTTACAGTCAAGAATGACACGAGAGTTTAATACAAGCCCAATACAGAGTTTATTAAGAAGTACAATTAGCCAAGAGGACGCTGGCAGCCATGCAGTCGACTGTGAGAAAATCAAGGTCGGAGGGGAGACTACTAAGGCAGGGCTCCTGACAAAGCCAAGTAGGAGAAAAAGCGAGACGAAGACCGTAAACAAAGAGATGGCTGAAGAGCCAGAGGACCACCAACACAAGCAGAAGACACAGGGTCCAGAGGAGATGTGATTGTCGTTAGAACATCAAAACCGGTCGAAAACCTCTGAAAAAATGGGTCATTTTGATCGCGTTGCAGTTTCGTTACACATTCTATAGACCGCAAACCAAGAGACTGAGGGCTCGCAAGATCGGTTTAAAGTATCTCGGTCGCCCTTCGGGCGACGTGCCGTGCGCCAGCGAGGATTGCGTGACGACTCTAAAAACGGCTGTGTAGCAGACTAGGATATGGCTTGCGGTTATTGATTTTCAAAAGTCGATCTGGGTCAGATAAGAAGAGAAGAAATCGTTTACAGTAGATTTATAAACATCCCATTGGGCTAATTAATCATGCTAAATAAGCGACAGGTATAGACAGTTTTCAAGGTGAGACTTAAAATAAGTAATTCATTTATTCACACGCAACTCCTCTGGACCCTGTGCAGAAGAGCGTTGGTATGTTGACACGTCGAGTTTGGAAACTCTCACGAATTTCAACCTCGTTCCCAGGGTTCTCTCCTACCTGCCCTACGGAGTCTCTCGCTCCTTCTCGCTCCGTAGGGCGGGTAGGAGAGAAACCTGGGAACGAGGTTGCACGAATTAATTTTGAGCACATGTAAACCAACTAACGATTTTTTTTCGTTTTTTCATTTGTTTCAATGACTTGTTGGGTTAATAAGTGATGAATTTGCGTTTCCTAAGGTTGCCTTGCAGAAGACATCTGGGACTATACTGACTTTATAATCGATCCTTAAAATTTCACGTTATTTCTGGGAGGAAAAAGTGGGAATGAAGTGTCGCAAATTCTCCGCGCTTGAAGCGCGCTTGGGGCAGGGGTAAGAGCTTTCGCCTCCCGCCAATATTGTCCGGGTTCCGATCCTGGTTCATGGTTGCGTACGAACAGGCCCCAGCCGGGGGGGGGGGGAGATGGAGTGAAGAAAAGGGGATAGACGCGAGATGCCCCTCCCCCTTCCCCTTCCCCGTCTTCTTTCTGTTCACCCTATACCCAGGGGAGGGGGAAGGGGAGGGGGGCTACTCTCTATAGTGGCCAAAACAAGGAAAGGAGTACCTTTTTCACGCCGGATTCAGATATATGAAAGGGTAGGGATTGCATTAGTTGAAGTGTATGAAAGGTTAGGGAAATCTACATAGCGGTCTGTGAAAGGACTTCTACTAAGCTAAAGGGCTTACAAACTAACCGGGCGCATAAGACATGAGAACTTCCTTGTGTATTTAAATGACGGCGCATTTACAGCAGTTTAAAAGTGGTGCAGCGTTCTAATGAGTTTTGTTGTGGTTGTTGTTGACTAAAGCTATAAACCTTCTGGCACTGTTTGCAAGACAGTTTGAGTTATCATTTTAATTTTAGTTTTCAGAAATCGGTCATCGACAAAGGAAAATTACAGGGGTAACCACAGCGTCGACAATTTTTCGACTACGAAACACCGAATTACTAGATCCCTTCTCAAAGATGCTAGTCATTCGGAGTATGGCTAAGAGTCATGTTATGTGATTTAATGATTAAAACGGTTATGGTGATGACAGTGTGACAGTGCAATCTGAACGCGTTCAGATTACACTATCATTACCATAACCGTCTTAATCATTATATCACATAACATAACTCCATACGATTGGCACAACAAACATGGCGCGTCGATGGAACTGTCGCGTGTTTTTTCCCTTGATTATCTTACCATTATTTGGAATTTTGATCACGATATCTTTGGTAGAAAGAACGAAAGGTAAGGTAATGTACTAACTACGAAAATTTGAGACCATAATGAGGCAAAGGCGATGCTTTTTGCCACGTCTTTATAGAGAACTCTTACGACTGAAACTGTTGACACATGAAAGTCGTCTTGGAATTAACAACCTAAGCGTTTATGAAATTCATTAAATGCAGTTTTTTAGAATTTACTTTCAGAAACATGTCTAACCTGCAATGTTTGTTCCACGAAATAACTTTTTTGCTTCAGTTTAAGAGCCAGTACTGGTCAAACAGTTTCCATCGAACAGAAAACGTCAGACGAATTCAGACAATTCGTTGTTCTTGTGGTAGCCTTTGTTACGGTTGAAACAAGCAGCATTGCATTTTTTGCATTATCCAGTGCGTAGAACATTTTACAACCACTACAAACATATCGTCTGATTTTAGTAACTTCAAGAGTTCCCCTACAAACAATCGCTTTCATCGGACAATGCACGAAAAAAAATTGCCCATGTCTGACGAAATCCTACCTGACATGTGGTCGGAAACGAGTGATGACCGGACAGATCAAATACTATAATAAACGACTATTGAAACTGAGATTTGCATAATTATTAAAGAAATTAAAAGTCAACATAACGTATGCCTTAAAAATATATATATTTTTTTGCTTTGTGTGGCTAAAACTTTAGTATAGTATAAAAAGAGTGACGTGTTCAAACATAAACGACAGAGTTATGCATCAGTCAAATCCAACTGAGCCCAGTCCCCCCCAACCCCCCCCCCCCGGCTAACCCCCGAGCATTAGTATTTTTTTTGGCCTTGGATTGCAAATTCCCGGGGGTGGAAAACTTGAGCTGCAAAATGCCCCACGGTGGGCACGAAAAAAGAGGGCAAATGCCCCGTCCTAAATCCACACTGTAGCCGAGTTTTCCGTTGATCGCACGGTCGAATAGTGCCACTTTAAGCATTTTTAATGTGCAAAATGTGAAATTTTTAACGTCTGCCTTTCTAATGGCGCTATTCTTTATTAAGCCGCGACAAAACCATTTATGATTCTTATTTTATATGCCATGAATTAAAATCAATAATAGTGTATAAAGCTATTTGTTCTGAATAGGTTAAAAATATGAAAGGAAGTTATTCAAATAATAGATTGATCATACATGATCATAAAAGTATTAAAATCATTACCTTTAAATTTTATTCAATTCCTAGAACTAAAGAAATTTGATTCAATAAATAAACTCGATTCGCGCATGTCGATAGCTCCCGATTTCGCAGTGTCAGTTCTGTCTGGACTCTGTCTTGATAAGCGATGAAGAGATCGGCATGCATAAAATCGAGACAGCATGCCTCTAAAAACCTCTACAAATTTTTTGCGTCCTTGATAGATGAGTCAATCTCCCAATTTGCTTGTGTTTCCAGTAAAATCCTCCATGTTCAGTTATATTAGGATAGGAAACTAGGTGCATGATAAAAGCTCGGGGGTGGCCCCGGGGTTGCCCCGGGGTAGGCAAACGCTCGATCCCTGTGCCACGCAAACTTTGCTATTGCCCCGCAGTGGTCGGGGACTGGGTGCAATCAGATTTGACTGATGCATTAATTGCAGTCCTAAACTTTTGATTTACATTTTCGTGGTTCAAATTTCCTTTGTTCCGTGGTTGAAAATAGTGTTTGAAGGCATCTCGCGAATTGTTTTCTCGTTTCTCAAGCTTATATATATTATAAAGATTATTTGTCTCCTCAGCTCAAGAGATTTGTGCCTTGTGGGTAGAAGCGTTGCGTGAATTCTCATAGAATGTTCACGCATCTCAGCGTTGGACCACGTGACTCAAATAAATTGGCCTCAGCTCGCTTAAACAAAGTTGCCAGTTTGTTTCTGGTTAGCCTTTTCCGATATAAAATCATCAGATTT